CTGGTAATTACAGCCCCATTGATCCACTCACGCTGCACTAAACACCCAGAAGAATATCCATCTTCTTGTGTGAATTTCATTCCGACTTTTGTATGGATGTAAACATGGTTAAAAATATGGATGAACTACGAAGGAGTAAGGGTACAATATATTGGTGCATGACATCTGCTTTCAAATGCCCGCACCAGCAGCAAATCAAAATGGCGAAATCAAGGAGCAGCAATGTTGGCCTTGGCCTTGGGTGCAATCTCCTCCCCATCAGCAGTCCCTGCCGATGACCCGCTAACCTGCAGCTCCAATAGGGTCGCTTCCCACTCCTTGGCCGGGCCCTGCAGGGTTAACAGAGTACAACACAGCAACGAAGTAAGACAACAAGCCCGAAATATCAGCAGGCACGGTGGACACATAAACACTTGGAGGGTGTAAGGGGATTAGGGGCGTGGAGCCAGGTGGGATAACGTGAACGCCAGGAGCCAGGAGGCTTACCTTCCAGGAAAGGTCCTGAGCCATGCCGTTGAGGATCATCTGGTCGAAGGCTGGCGTGCCGTACACCTTGGCTGCTCTCTTCACTCCTGCTGTGAGCGAGGCGATGTCCTCAGGGAAGACGTCCTCGCACTGGAAAGAGATGGAGGGGAGGGGTCGGGGGAGAAGGGGGGGGGAGCGAGGAGACAGGTATGAGAGGAGAGCGGTGGGGTGAGGGTGGGGGTGACTGAAAGGGGCTTGGAAACGTACAGAGAGAGAAGGGAAATGTGCAGCAGTGACACTGCGTGGAGGGCAGTCAAGAAGTAAGAGGGCATTGCAACTATGAGGTGACGTCCAAAATTCGCAAGACATGGTTTTCCGAATTCACGCAGGTTCAAAATCCGTGTACTCACGTCGACGTTGAACTCGCCGATTTGGAACCCTGTGACTCCGTCCTTCACTGTGTCCACCAGACCGCCCGTGGAGGCCACCACTGGCACCTGATGGGAGGCAACAGGGGAGGGCGGACGAAGAGAAAGGAGGGAGAGGGTTAGCGTGGAACAAATTTATCGAGAGGGCGGAGGGAGGAGGGGGTGAGGAAGGGGGGGATGTCAGTACTGAAAGAATATGTGGCGACAGCATTGGTTCGACTAATTGCCTCATGAAAGTAGCTTTGATCTGCTCGGCTTTCCAAACTTGTTATGAACGTGGCCCATCACATGGAAAGCAAGACCATTCGCAACTCACCGTGCCGTATCGCATGGCGTGCAGCTGGATCAGACCGCAGGGCTCGAACCGCGACGGCACGAGCATGACGTCCGCGCCAGCAGTCATGAGATGCGCGAGCGGCACGTTGAACTTGACGACACCGCGGGCCTTGTCCGGGTACTTGACCTCGAGCTGCTCCAGCTGCTTCTCCAGGTACTTCTTGCCCGTGCCCAGCACGATCACTTGAACATCCTCCTTGAGAATCTCGGGGAGAGCGGCGGAGAGGATGTCGGAGCCCTTCTGCTCCTCCAGGCGGCCGATGAAGGCGTAGATGGGCACGTCCGGGCGCACGGGGAGGCCGACCTCGGCTTGGAGGGACTCCTTGAGAAGGGGCTTCACCTCCAGGACCTGATCGGGGGTAAAGGTAGAAGGAAGGCAGGGAAAGAGGGAAAATGAAATTCACGCGCAGAGGAGCGTACTACCGGAGCGTTTGTGCACCTAGGAGGAAAGCAGCGATTTGGGATAGATCTATCCGAGGGAGGCCAACTTTCAGGCGTATTCGTATGCGCAAGTACACGACGCAGTAAATTTCGCATCAACCCGTGCTTCTTCTGAAGGTACGTTCTTCCCATTCTAAAACCGAGAAACATCCAAGACCACGTCCCATCAAATGAACTCACATTGGAGATGTCATAGGGCGTGTCGAGGTACTTGTCCTCGCTCGAGTCCCACTCCGTCGTGTCCATGCCGTTCACAATCCCGCGGCACCCCACCTCCCGGATCACATCGTCCAGCTCCACACCCTTCGCCGGCCCGGACTTCAACTCCGCGGCGTAGTTCGGGCTCACAGTCAGCACCAGATCCGACTCCTGGAACCCAGCCTTGAGCCAGTTGATCTTGGGGCCCTTCACGGGCTTGTCGGACTCGTCGTAGAACGCGAAGGAGTCGCGGAAGCCCTCGGGGAGGTTGAGGAGGTTGAAGTCGTCGATGGGGAAGCGGCCCTGGTACGCGATGTTGTGCGTGCAGAACGCCACCTTGGCGCTGCTGAACTGGTTGTACGGCTTGTAGAACGCCCGAAGGTAGCACGGCACCAGCGAACTGTGCCAGTCGTTGGCGACGAACACCACATCCTCGCCATAAGGCCCCGAGTAGTACTCGCTGTTGTTCAGGTTCAGGATCCGCGGGGCCTCGATAGCCGCCTGGCAGAAGAGGCTGAAGCGGAGCTGGTTGTCTTGGTAATCTGTGCCGGCGACGGGGCCATAGACCTTGCTGCCGGTCTTGCCGTAGACCTTGGCGAGGAAGAGCGGGTGGTCGATGAACACGCGGTCCACGCCGCGCTTGTAGCAGTGGAAGAACCGGACCGTCTCCACGCGGTTGCCCACCTTCACCTGCGCGACGGAAGGAGATATGGCAAAGGCGTGAAATGCGGCGTTAATGGCGGAGCAGTCGCGGAGTGAAAGACGAGGAAGGCATCAGTGGAGGTTGGTAGAGAGATGTTATTGTGCGAAAAGAAGGATAGAGACTCGAGCTTACGTCAAGGGTGACGTCAGTGTCCCAGGCATCCTTGTACTGGTCGTAGCGAGGGGAAACGGTCATCACACGGTGACCGCGGGCCTGTCAGGACACGCATGGAAAAAGAACACAGGTCAGACGGGTAATCAGTAAGCTACGTGAAGGAGAGAGCATGAATACACGATCGAGTGATATCTGCAAATGGAAAACGGAAAGGAATAAACTTTGCGCGACTTCTGCTTACCGCAAGAGCAGGGGGCAGGCCACCCAACACGTCGCCAAGACCGCCAGTCTTGCTCCAGGGAGCAACCTCAGCCGACACGAAGACGAGCTTCATTCCAGGCTCCACCTCGCACTTCACCACTCCCTTGGCGGATCCAGCCTCCTCCTTGCCGGCTGACACCGCCTTAGCGACGGTTGAAGCCAGGGAAGGGGTCTGAGCGGCGACATTGCCTGGCATTGCCCGGCCAGATCGGAGACCCTCGAAGCCGGCAACCATGAGCTTGGAGGCATCGGCCTTCTTCTGGGAGCTGGAGATGCCATGGCTGAGTTGGCTGGTAACTCCACGGCTGATCGTGGCATTCATGGCGGTGGCCATTGTGAGTGCTTGTGGAAGAAGCAGAGAAGGCAAACGGGAAGTTTGGCCTTACGAATTTCACAGGCTAGCTCAGATAACCTCAACGGAGGAGGTTTATACGAAGGGAGCTCCTGAAATATAGGTCTCCGAGGTTGAGAGATTCAGGATGATGAGAAGTGCTGAACCTTGAATTCCCTGAATGCAGAAATGCATGTCCCAGTCCGTGTCTTGTAGATTTGGCCTCCTCGTAGTGAGGAAAGTGGCGACTGTGGGAGGAAACAGATCGACGGTCAATACAAGCTGAGCTAGGGAGATCGATGGTCGTACGAGCTCGACTCAGCTGCGATGTTGTGAGGATGGACTTCGTCCGCGCCCGGACGGACCTGACTCCTCCTGAGCCGAGTGATCAAACACATCAAGGAAACGGTTGGCGATTGCTCCTGCTCAAAATTCTCCAAGAAGATGGGAGATTGACTACTGGTCCCAAATTACAGCCACGCAAGATATTGAGCCCATGTATGACTTGGCTTGGGCCTGCGATGAGTCGGAAAGAAGAGGCGAAAAGAATCTAGTGGGAGGAGGTGTCCGGCTGACTGGAGATCACATGTGACAGTAACGCGGGCCACGCTAAGCTGAATCATTTGCGAGTCGATTCCAGACACGTGGAGTTCCGAATTCAAAATAGTGCCAGGTGCGAGCCGCATTCTGCCTTTCCTGTGAGCCCCAGAGTAGCCCCCTTTCGAGGAATGGTGGAGCTCCGCACATTCCAAGTTCCAACAGGGGTGCAATCCAAGGATGATCCCAAAGGTCCATTTCAATGTGTGTGAGATCTCCATAATTTAGGGATGCGCCTCCCATAAGCCGCTTCGATATTCCATTGAGCTTAGCAGGCGGTGAGATGAACTACATGTTCTCGTATGACACCATCGCAATGCAAGGTAAAGCCAGACGATATTCGAGTGTGAGACGCGGGTCACTGTATCTGATCCAAACTTTCGCGGGAAATTCCACTATGGTGAACAGAAAGCAAATTCAAGCTTTTCGTAGCTATCAAGGTTATTCCCTGGCCATATCTTCTCCCGAGAGCTACGCTCGCAGCGTACACTGCAACCTGTATTAATTTCCGCACTGAAGTCCGCGCAAACCAGCGGAGCGAGGCAAGGATCTCCGGACGGAGACGTCATGGCTGGTCATGGAAACACCTTTTTCGATGAGCAGGCCGGCCACTGGGACGACAAACCATTGCATCGTGAAATGGCCGCTAAGGCCGTGGAGCATCTGTTAGCCAATGTTCCTGTAAAGGAAGGCACGACTGTTCTGGAAGTTGGTAGCGGTACAGGGCTTTGCTCCGAGATGCTCGCAGCGAAAGGCGTCAAGGTCGTCGGCGTAGACACCTCCATCGGTAAGACTTGGTCGTCTGCGTCGTAAAACCAGTAATTTTCATTAATTCCCGTGGTACATTGAGCAGAGGCATATGGAAGTAGACATTGTAGACGCTTCACCAATCACACGTGTGAATGCGGTTACAAAAGTAATCTCTAACGAACCTGATATCTCCGCTTCAGAATCGCTAGATATCCGCATTGCTTTCAGCTCAGAGCTCACGTAAAGGGTTTATTACCCTCTCGTCTTTTCAAGGCATGACTCTGAAATGGCATGATTGTTCGGATTCCGCTTTCATTGTCCAGGCATGGTGAATGCGTTCAACGCCAAGGCGGAGAAGCTCGGTCTGGCCGACAAAATGAAGTCCGTTCAGATCATGCTTACCTCGGACAAGACCCCTCAACAGCAGCTTGGAGACCTGCTACCAGCAGAGGGATTTGATGTCGCCTTCTCCCATCTCACGTTCCACCACGTCCCGAGTAAGTTGCTCGTTTCAACCTCATTCTGTTAGCCAGCACATTCGAGAAGTCTCAAAAGTCGTCTACCAGCAGAGGGGTTTGATGTTGCCTTCTCCCATCTCACGTCCCACCACGTCCCGAGTGAGTTGCTCGTTTCAACCACATTCTTTCAGTCAACTCAAGGTCTTCCCTTGACAAATTGATAACGTGTTTCAATTTTTGGAGTAAACACATTTCATGTCGACTGTTATTTGATGAAACATTTGTCCACGCCAATTCGTCCTGACTCGGCTTCCTTGTTCACCAGGTATTCCTGAGACTCTTCTTGCCGTGATGAGCTGCCTGAAGGAGCACACCGGGGTTGTCGCCATTTCAGATTTCGAAGCAGAACCCCATGCAGCAGAATTCCACCCCTCCAATATCCACGCTGAGTTGGAGAAGCACGGACTGGGGGTGGAAGACCTGGAAAGGGATATGAAAGCAGCAGGTCTACAAGAAGTGAAGGTGCTGCGTCCATTCAAGATTGACAAGGAGGTGGAGAGTGGCGGGTCCAAGAAGTTCCAGTTTATTCTTGGCTTGGGCACACGCCCTTGAGGACATCACAATGTACAGTTTGCTTCATATGTTGGGGTCCAAAGTTGATAGGTCTTTCTGACTCCAACATTTGCTTGCAGGGATGTGCTGTCACAAGGAATTGTACACATTGCTATGGTATTGTGGGAATCAACAACACCACCGCACGGTGAACCTAGCCAAAATTGAGTTAAAGTGTACAAAGGACAGCTGTTGAACCAACAGGAGCTGGTAAAGGCTCTCCAGGTCATGGCCAAAATTGCTGTCCAGCAATGTGGACGGGCTAAGACTCTGGAGGAACCAAAGGCTCAATTCAAACGGGGGTGTCAAAGATGGCCTGGATGGTTGATTGGAAGAAATCCGAGGCAGTCTGCACATTGGTGAAGGCATCCATGATGTACTCCCTGCCAAAAAGAATGAGGGCATTAGGGCCAGAGGAAAGGGAGGGGATTTTGTAAGATTCCGTGCGTGGACAGCCCAGGGACATGTCTGTGCTGGTCGAGGAGGGTAAGTGAAGGCCACACGGCTGCCGGTAGACATGACTCAGCAACCAACGGCAACCACTAGTGATATGGTACGACAAGGAAGGATGGTTGCACACTTGCGGGTACAATGTGGAAGCGGTTAGCTCCCTACTGCCAGACACCGCTACAAGTTCATTGCGCACATGATAATTTGTTACATGAATCGAGTCCTAGTAAGATGTGAGTGGGACGTGCGTATGAAGCAGAGGAGACACGGAAACTCACCAAGGAGGGGGGTCGGAGCCCTGTGGCTCGTCCAGCAACCCGTGCAGCTCTCTGAACGACCTGGTCATGGTGACAGGATGAGAAATGAGTGAGCCACCAAAAGAGTAGAGGTGGAACAAGGAGGAGAGGGGGGAGTTCCGTTGGAGGAGGGGAAATTTTCAAGAAAAAAAGGTGGGGAAGGAGCTGAAGTATGACGAGTATTGGAGGTCATTTCAGTCAAACATATTCAGAAGCCTTCCCACGGCTCATCTGTTCACTTCCTGCTCCCTTTACCCCCCCCACACTACTTTCCCCCTCCCGCTCACCAGATGAGGTCCAGCAGTGCCTCCTCCCCTTGCACGAGCGCTGGGTCGTTCTTGTCCAGCAAAGAGGCGGCGTTCTTGAGGATGAGCTTGAACGTGCACAGCTGGGGGGCGGACGGTGGGTTGGGGGGGGTGGATGCAGAGGCGTCTGATTTAATGTGCCTCACAACTTATCCAGCAGAGAGGCGGCGTTCTTCAGGATGAGCTTGAACGTGCACAGCTGGGGGACGGATGGTGGGGTGGGGGGAGAAGGGCAGGTGGATGCAGAGACGTCTGATTCAATGTGCCTCACAACTTATCCAGCAGAGCGTGCACAGCTGGGGGACGGATGCGTTTGAGTCGACTCAAAAGCGGCTTCGTACGGCATCCTGCTAACCTGGAGCATCTATCCCCCTCACCTCTACACCTATCTTAACCCCTCACCTCTACGCCCCTCACTACACCCCTCACCTCCACGCCAGGAGTAAAGCCTGGAGCGAGGCAGTCAAGGGAGGCTTCCCGCACTCCTGCCTGCACCGACGCCAGCTCAGAGGGGGTTGTGGAGGCCTCTGCAATGAAAGAGTGGAGAGGACGGAGAGAGGAGGAAATAAGACAGTGTGATGGATGGCCGAAGAGAGGCAGTGAAGGGATGCTTCCAGCACTCCTGCCTGCACCGACGTTAGGTCAGAGGGATGGGAGATTGGAGAAAGAAGCGAGACACCCAGCGGAGACCATGCGAGGGTTGAGTTCTGTGCTTGCCTCAAGGCGCACTCACATGGTCTCCTCACATGACCACCCACTCACGCACCCCTTGATGGACTTTACACGCACCAAGTCACACAGGTACTCAGCGAATTCGCCCTTGGCAGCCGCAAGGCGGGCAGAGGAGACCATGTGAGTTTGAGCTTCGAGTCGACTTAGCACAACGCAGCCCCACATCCCATGTGCACCCACACCACACAGCCACACAGCTAGGTACCACTCACTCACCGAATTCAGCCTTGGCAGCTGCGAGGCGCGCGGACGAGACCATGAGGGGGTTGAGCAGAAACTGCATTGACTTGCGCTTCTGCGCCTTGAGCCACTCCTTGGGCCCGGCTGAACAAGGGGGAGACGGAGGCGGAAGGAAGGGGTGGGGAATGAGAAGAGTCAGCGAGAGGTATTAGGGGGTGTTTGAGGCATCATGAACAAAAGAAACTTGCGCTTCTGCGCGTTGAGCCACTTCCAGGGGGCGCAGATTGTCCTTGCGCTTTCCCGCGTTGCACCACTCCTTGGAGCCAGTTCTTCTGGAAGCGGGCAGGGAGGGCGGGGAAGGCGGAGAGGATGAAGAGAGCGGAAAGGGCGGAGAGGGCGGAGAGGGCGGAGAGGGCGGAGAGGGCGGAGAGAGCCGAGAGGGCGGAAAATGTGGAGAGGATGGAGAGGGTGGAAAATGCAAGGGTTATTAAGCGGTCTAAAGCTCATTGCTCTGGGCGGGAAGCACGCACACAAACCGAAGGCTTGTGCGCTTCCAGGAGCGGCTGTCGCGGCAATCCCTAGGCTCAGCGCCACAGCGGCGGCGGCAGCAGCAGCTGGAGCAGCGATAACTGACCGACGGCTCACACCCGTCGCCGCTGCAGCTCCCGTTTCCGCTGCTGCTGCGGGAGAATGCTCTTGCGAAGGACGGCTGGAACCTCTGCCGTTGACGGAATCGCTAACGGAATTTTCGACGGACGACCTGACCACCAGGGACCTTCTCGGAAATGCGCTTGCTCGACCAGCGGCATTGGGATTTGTCAGCGCGTGCTGCATGGGGACGCGGCATTGGCTGGTAGCTGACCCGAGGAGAGAAGATCCGGACAGGAGAGTAGCCATGGCGTCAAGAGCGTTCGTGAAATGCGAGTTCGGGAGCACAAAACCGTGAGTATGTGACCAGTTATTGTAGAGCTCGGCCAGGAGGAAGCCTTTGAGAATTTCGATTCAGGGGGGGGGGACAAGGGTAGTGAACATTTGAGAGGTAGTTACCTTCCAATACCTCGAAGGAACGGTCATTCGAAACGTTTCAGACCTGAAACCTCCAATACCGTCACTGTACCTTCAAATCTAACGTTGTTTACCAGCATTTGAATCGCAGAGTTGAGGATTTGGACAAGAATTTGGTGCTGCTTGCTCGGGATTTCAATGAGCCCTCGTCTGTGCTGCAAACCACGCCAGACACGATAGGAGTGCAGATCAATCTTTGCAACAAGCAGTGGGACGATCAGAATGCTGAGCAGCGCCGCGTGTGCCTTTCACGTCGTGTCGTCGTTGAGTTCAAAGCAACCATCCCAGCGCCGTCAGTAGCATGCAATCGGTACGCGCGCTCGCCCTTCCTCTTGCGCCTTTTCTCATTGCTAGCTCGCGCAGATTGAAGCATCTGCGCATCTTCTAAGAATCGATCATATCTCCGCAATTACCCTGCGATCGATGACCTTTCTACCCAGAAAGCTCCCTATCTCGGTTGCAATTCCTCGCTCGCCGCGAGTTTTTTTTTATTGATTTTGCATGCGGCGCACACGCAGTGCCTCTCTCCCCACACTCACAATCACTCGCACCCTGACCTTCACACTTATCCCCTCACCCACAGTCGCTCGCTCTCTCCACACTCGCGCACACCCTGCTGCCCACTTGCAAGCTATCTACTCCGCGCGGAGTAGGCGGTTCAAGCAAGCAACGCGGAGCGGTGCCTACTCCACACAAGATCACTCTGACATTTCGCAATCCCCCCTTCCCCTTTGCCCGCCTTTTTCCCTCACCCAATCCCCTCCTTGGTTTCTCCCATGCTTTCCCGCACAATCGCCCCCTCTCTCCGCCACTCAGCCCCTCATCGTCTCCCTCCTCTCTTTCCCGTCTTCCTTTTTCCTTTCCCCCTATCTCGTTCCAGGCCAAATTGCTGACGAGGCCGTGGATCGTCCACGTGGCAGAATCTGCAAGCACGACGCTCACCCACCTCACCATCCGTTCCTCCCACCTCCTCCAACCAACCCTCAGGCCATCCCCTCTCTCCACCCTATCTCGACCGTTGATCCCGATCCAAGCCCAGATCTCACCGTCCATCAGCCCAATCCGCAGCATCAGCTGCTACAGTCTTCTACGACATTCCCAAGGCGTGCATCTGCTGAACTCAGGAATGGAGCATTTGGCTGGAAGCGGGCTCAGTTCTTCGCCTGTGACTTGCATCCACCATACCACCGTCTCTGCTAGCATGTCAAGCATGAGCACTAGCAGAGGGATTGGCAGAGGCATTAACAGAGAGGTTGGCAGTGGTGCTGCTGGTTTAGGAAGCCAGTTTAGCAGCAGCACTCAATCGACCGCATATTCTTCTTCATCGCTGTCGCTGCTAGAGAAGCTTCGCAGCAACTTCCGCCAGCAAGGGCACACGAGTAGTTTCCCTGGACACCACCAGTCACCAGCCAGGGTTCAGGGTTTCGGGTTTACCACGACGAGGCTTCAGAGCACAGGGTTTAGCAGGAGAGGAAGCAGTGGGTTTATCTCTCCACCAGCAGCAGCACTCGGGCCGACAGGCAACCGGGCTTTAGCCGCTGCAGCTGGCTCTGATAAACCCTTGCTGACCCGCAAGCTGACTTCCTTCTCTTTCTCCAGCAGTTCCCGTTCTCCCAAAGACTTGGATGCCGAGAGGGATGGGCAGCAGCAGGGGCAGGGGAAGGAGCAGGGGCAGGGGCACAGGCAGGGGCAGGGGGAACGGCAGGTTCAGGTGCAGGCAGTGAGGGAAACGGAGGGAATGGGGGAGGAGGGGCAGGGGGGTGGGGAGCAGCGGCAGGGGCGGAGAAGAGCGGTTGTGAGTGGTGCTGGGAGAGGCAAGGAGGTGGGGGGTGTGGAGGGAGGAGAGGGAGAGGAGGAGGTGGGGAGCGGGAGTGGGGGAGAGAGCGGGATTGAGAGTGGGATTGAGAGTGGGCTTGAGAGTGGGCTTGAGAGTGGGCTTGAAAGTGGGATCGAGAGTGGGCTTGAAAGTGGGATCGAGAGTGGGAGTGAGAGCGGGAACGAGAGCGGGAGTGAAGGAGCGAGTGGGAGAGGGGCGGGGAGCGGTGGCAACGGGGCAGTGGTGGCATTGAGAGCAGGCAAGGTGGAGGAGGTGGAGCTGCATGAGGAGGCGGTGCAGTCGTATGTGTCGTATGCCATGTCCGTCATTGTCGGCCGCGCGCTGCCGGACGCCAGGGACGGGCTGAAGCCAGTGCACAGGCGAATCCTGTGAGTGTGCATGTGTCTGCAGCATTCTGTAGCTTTTTTCCCAGTTTAAAAGGGGCTGAGATTTTTGGCGAGAGCAAGAGCGATAGTGGGCATTGAGAGCGCGCAAGGTGGAGGAGGTGGAGCTGCATGAGGAGGCGGTGCAGTCGTATGTGTCGTATGCCATGTCTGTCATCGTGGGTCGTGCACTGCCGGACGCCAGAGACGGGCTCAAGCCGGTGCACAGGCGAATCCTGTGAGTGCATATCTAGCGCAGTGTGCCAGTCCCTGCTGCGTTCTGTGACTCCTTTTCCAGCCTAGTGGGGCTGAGATTTGGGGCGAGAGCAGGAGAGAGAGGAGAGGCAGTGGCAGCAGGCAAGGTGGAGGAGGTGGAGCTGCATGAGGAGGCGGTGCAGTCGTATGTGTCGTATGCCATGTCCGTCATTGTCGGCCGGGCTCTCCCTGACGCCAGAGATGGGCTCAAGCCCGTGCACCGGCGAATCCTGTGAGCCTTTCCCCTTTACCCCAGCTATGCCTTGCACGACTGGCAATATCCCACCATCCCTGCCCACCTGAACCCCGTCCCATCCCCCCTCCACCCCACCTCCCCCAGCTACGCCATGCACGAGCTGGGCCTGGCATCATCCAAGCCTTTCCGCAAGTCGGCTAGAGTCGTGGGAGAGGTACGTCTCTGGCCCTCCCTGCCTGTCTATTTGCCTCCTCATCCTGCTGTTGTTGCCCCTGCTGCTGCTTCTGCTGCTGCTGCTGCTGCTGCTGCTGCTGCTGCTGCTGCTGCTGCTGCTGCCATTGTGTGGAAGGCGCAGGACGCGCTGAGCCCTTCTCTTGCTCGTTCTCTCCTCCTCGTTCCGCAGGTGCTAGGCCGCTTCCACCCTCACGGTGACACAGCAGTCTACGATGCTCTAGTGCGCATGGCACAGGACTTCTCTCTGCGCACTGAGCCGCTCTTGCATCCCTTCCTCCCTGTTCACAACCATCCCACAGGTGCTAGGGCGGTTCCACCCGCATGGTGATACAGCGGTCTACGATGCTCTAGTGCGCATGGCGCAGAACTTCTCTCTCCGCGCTCCTCTCCCTTGTGTTCCCCTTTTCGCACCACAACCTACAGGTGCTAGGTCGCTTCCACCCGCACGGCGACACAGCAGTCTACGATGCCCTAGTGCGCATGGCACAGGACTTCTCACTCCGCGCCCCACTTGTGAACGGGCACGGCAACTTTGGGTCCATTGATGCTGACCCTGCTGCTGCGATGCGCTACACCGAGTGCCGCCTGCAGGTACCTGCTAGTATCCCCGCATGAGCAGGTAACCCCCTATACGCTAGTATCCCTTTACCTGCTGCTGCCTGGAACCAATGACCAGCCCCCCTCTCACTCGTGCACGGGCACGGAAACTTTGGGTCTGTCGATGCTGACCCTGCTGCTGCCATGCGCTACACCGAGTGCCGCCTGCAGGTAGGTAGCACTCGATGAGCAGGTAATCTAACACAAAGGGCAAGACCACCCCTCTAGTCTCAGCAAGTTAGCTTCTCTGATCTCCCACTCTCACTCCCACCCCCACTCCCCATACTCACCCTCGCATCCCTCACCCCACCCCACACTCTCCCCCTCTGCTCCCCCTTCCTCCTCTCTGCCAGCCCCTCACGGAGAAGATGCTTTTGGAAGACATTCGCAATGACACGGTCAGTTGTGAGACGTCTCAATACTCGCGCTCCCTCTTCCCCTTTCCCCTCTTCTCCCCTCTCCTCCAGCCCCTCACGGAGAAGATGCTTTTGGAAGACATTCGCAGCGACACGGTCAGTTGGGGGTTGGGATTCAGTCAGGGTTAAGGGCCATTGTCACTTGTGGCCATTCTCAGTTGGTTTTGGGTCAACAAAAAAACCGCTTCAGTTGGGGGCTGGGAATAACTCAGGGTTAAGAACCATCGTCACGTGTGGCAAAACCGAGTTGGAATTTCATCACATCCTATCGCATCACATCGCATCTCGTCACACCACACTCTACCTCATAATCTCGAAATCTTTACCCCTCCACTTCCCCCTTCCCAGGTTGACTTTGCACCCAACTTTGATTCATCCACCAACGAGCCAACAGTGCTGCCAGCTCGGATCCCTGTGCTTCTGCTCAACGGCTCTCAAGGGATTGCGGTACGTCTAATGCTGCTTTCCGCACTCGTGTATTTCTGAGGCAACTGAGGAAACACTCACTCGGATCCCTGTGCTTCTGCTCAACGGCTCTCGGATTGCGGTACGTCTAATGCTGCTTTCCGCACTCGTGTATTTCTGAGGCAACTGAGGAAACACTCACTCGGATCCCTGTGCTTCTGCTCAACGGCTCTCAAGGGATTGCGGTACGTCTAATGCTGCTTTCCGCACTCGTGTATTTCTGAGGCAACTGAGGAAACACTCACTCGGATCCCTGTGCTTCTGCTCAACGGCTCTCAAGGGATTGCGGTACGTCTAATGCTGCTTTCCGCACTCGTGTATTTCTGAGGCAACTGAGGAAACACTCACTCGGATCCCTGTGCTTCTGCTCAACGGCTCTCAAGGGATTGCGGTACGTCTAATGCTGCTTTCCGCACTCGTGTATTTCTGAGGCAACTGAGGAAACACTCACTCGGATCCCTGTGCTTCTGCTCAACGGCTCTCAAGGGATTGCGGTACGTCTAATGCTGCTTTCCGCACTCGTGTATTTCTGAGGCAACTGAGGAAACACTCACTCGGATCCCTGTGCTTCTGCTCAACGGCTCTCAAGGGATTGCGGTACCAACATCCCCCCGCACAACTTGACCGAGCTTGTGGACGCGCTCTCAGCCTTCATTGACAACCCTGCCGCACCCTCCCCATCTACTCCTGTAACCCCTTATGTACCCCCCTGCACCCCGCTACACCCCGTTGCTCCCCTCCAGGTGGGCATGGCGACCAACATCCCCCCGCACAACTTGACCGAGCTTGTGGACGCACTCTCAGCCTTCATTGACAACCCTGCCGCACCCTCCCCATCCACTCCTGTAACCCCTTATGTACCCCCCTGCACCCCGCTACACCCCGTTGCTCCCCTCCAGGTGGGCATGGCGACCAACATCCCCCCGCACAACTTGACCGAGCTTGTGGACGCGCTCTCAGCCTTCATTGACAACCCTGCCGCACCCTCCCCATCCACTCCTGTAACCCCTTATGTACCCCCCTGCACCCCGCTACACCCCGTTGCTCCCCTCCAGGTGGGCATGGCGACCAACATCCCCCCGCACAACTTGACCGAGCTTGTGGACGCGCTCTCAGCCTTCATTGACAACCCTGCCGCACCCTCCCCATCCACTCCTGTAACCCCTTATGTACCCCCCTGCACCCCGCTACACCCCGTTTCTCCCCTCCAGGTGGGCATGGCGACCAACATCCCCCCGCACAACTTGACCGAGCTTGTGGACGCGCTCTCAGCCTTCATTGACAACCCTGCCGCACCCTCCCCATCCACTCCTGTAACCCCTTATGTACCCCCCTGCACCCCGCTACACCCCGTTGCTCCCCTCCAGGTGGGCATGGCGACCAACATCCCCCCGCACAACTTGACCGAGCTTGTGGACGCGCTCTCAGCCTTCATTGACAACCCCGCCATCACCACGGAGCAGCTCATGCTCATCTGCCAGGGGCCGGACTTCCCCACTGGAGGGGTCATTCTCGGCACGTCAGGGTATGTAGGCGGAGGGAAGGTGGGTGGGTGGGTGTGTTAGTTGTTGTTGGCAACCCTCCTGCCATCACCACAGAGCAGCTCATGCTCATCTGCCAGGGGCCGGACTTCCCCACTGGAGGGGTCATTCTCGGCACGTCAGGGTATGTAGGCGGAGGGAAGGTGGGTGGGTGGGTGTGTTAGTTGTTGTTGGCAACCCTCCTGCCATCACCACAGAGGAGCTCATGCTCATCTGCCAGGGGCCGGACTTCCCCACTGACGGGTCATTCCCGCCACGTCAGGGTGTGTGTGGGAACAGTGGAGGGAAGGAAGGGTGAGGCTTGGAGAGAGATAGGCTGTTTGGGGAGGCACGGCGGGAATGGGTAGGTAGCGGCGGGAATGGGTAGGTAGCGGAGGGAATGGGCGGGATAGTGGTGCGAGAGAGGGCATATGTGGAGGAGCTGGGAGGTGATCTTCTAGGCGCCTCAGGACTAGATCCACATTTCTCCTCTAGAATAGATCTCTGTGTCTCTTCTCTCCCCTGCCAAGCAGCATGGAGGAGGCGTATCGCACGGGAAGAGGGTCCATAGTGGTGCGAGGGAGGGCGTATGTGGAGGAGGTGGGCGGAATGTCCTAGGTGCCTCAGAATAGATTCCTGTCTCCCCTCATTCCCCCCGAGCAGCATGGAGGAGGCGTATCGCACGGGAAGAGGGTCCATTGTGGTGCGTGCGGGGGAGGGTCTATAATGGATTCCCGCTTCCCTCCCTTTTCCCCCATTCAGCATGGAGGAGGCGTATCGCACGGGAAGAGGGTCCATTGTGGTGCGTGCGGGGGAGGGTCTATAATGGATTCCCGCTTCCCTCCCTTTTCCCCCATTCAGCATGGAGGAGGCGTATCGCACGGGAAGAGGGTCCATAGTGGTGCGGGGGAGGGCTTATGTGGAGGAGCTGGGAGGAGGGGGAGTGGGGAGCAGAGGCAATCGGATTGGCATTGTCATCACAGAGGTGCGTGCTGATGGGTGATTGCTGAGTTTTGTGTCGACTCTAAGGTTGTTTGCATGGGAATTGGGTCGACAGTGGTGCGGGGGAGGGCGTATGTGGAGGAACTGGGCGGCGGGGGCGCATGGAGCAGAGGCAACCGGCTGGGGATTGTGATCACAGAGGTGCGTGAATGTGCTGGGAGGAGTCTGACTCTGGATTTGATGTGTGATTGTGGTAAAGTGGGACTTTGAGTTTGTGATTGTGGCGAGGTAAGCCTCCCCCCGCCCTTTCGAAGCTTGTTCTTGTTGACCGAACCTGGTGACCACGCACTCCTTCCGCTCCCCACCCCCCCCCTCAATCAAACAGCTCCCGTACCAGACGAACAAGGCCGCCCTGGTAGAGAAGATGGCAGAGCTGGTGAACAGCAAGGTGGTGGAGGGGGTGAGTGACATCCGAGATGAGAGCGACCGGGGGGACTTACACACCTCACCCTCCACCCTAATCTCCCACCTTGCTTTCCCTGCCCTCCCTTCCCTCCTATCCACCAAATAGCTTCCATACCAGACAAACAAAGCCGCCCTGGTGGAGAAGATGGCAGAACTTGTTAATAGCAAGGTGGTGGAGGGGGTGAGTGACATCCGCGACGAGAGCGACCGGGCGGGCATGCGCGTGGTGGTGGAGGTGAAGCGAGGTGCCACCCCCATGGCTGTGCTGGCATCGCTGTACAAGCACACTCAGCTGCAGTCACGCTTCAACTGCAACCTGGTGGGGTGAGTAGCAGTGTGGTAGTGGGATGAGGTGGCGGGGGTGACAAGGGGTGTCATGTCACCTGGCCACGCCCATGCCTGTGCTGCCATCGCTGTACAAGCACACTCAGCTGCAGTCGCGCTTCAACTGCAACCTGGTGGGGTGAGTAGCAGTGTGGTAGTGGGATGAGGTGGTGGGGGTGACAAGGGGTGTCATGTCACCTGGCCACGCCCATGCCTGTGCTGCCATCGCTGTACAAGCACACTCAGCTGCAGTCGCGCTTCAACTGCAACCTGGTGGGGTGAGTAGCAGTGTGGTAGTGGGATGAGGTGGTGGGGGTGACAAGGGGTGTCATGTCACCTGGCCACGCCCATGCCTGTGCTGCCATCGCTGTACAAGCACACTCAGCTGCAGTCGCGCTTCAACTGCAACCTGGTGGGGTGAGTAGCAGTGTGGTAGTGGGATGAGGTGGTGGGGGTGACAAGGGGTGTCATGTCACCTGGCCACGCCCATGCCTGTGCTGCCATCGCTGTACAAGCACACTCAGCTGCAGTCGCGCTTCAACTGCAACCTGGTGGGGTGAGTAGCAGTGTGGTAGTGGGATGAGGTGGTGGGGGTGACAAGGGGTGTCATGTCACCTGGCCACGCCCATGCCTGTGCTGCCATCGCTGTACAAGCACACTCAGCTGCAGTCCCGCTTAACCTGGTGGGGTGAGCGACAGGCTCCCCTATGCATGGTATGGGCTATCAGTAGAGATTTCTCAGTAGAGATTTCCCAACCTGTTCCTCCCTTCCCCATTCCCCCACTCCCAGTCCTCCCATCCCTCCCATTCCCCCCATTCTTCCCACAATAATACCCGTTTCCTCTCCACCCCCTCGTCCTGCTCTTCCCCTCAGGCTGGTCAATGGCGGGCCTAAGGAGATGACTCTAAGAGACTTCCTTCGATCCGTTCCTCCCTCTCCTCCCATTCCTCCCACACCATACCGTTCCTCTCACACCCATCCTGTCTTCCCCTCCCTGCTTCCCCTCAGCCTGGTCAATGGCGAACCCAAGGAGATGACTCTCAGAGACTTTTTCCAGGTAAGACAGAATCCCCAGAATCCGACAAATATGTATTCTCTCTCTAGTGTTTGGTCACACAAACCTAGATTTTGTTGAACCCTGGTCCCATTACCTCGTTTCTCTCCCTCCCTTTGCCTCCCTACATCTCATTCCCATCCCTCCCTCGCTTCCTCCTCCTTCCATCCTCCTTTCCCCAACCCCCACACACATTCAGGTCTTTCTGGACTTCCGCTGCCAGGTCATCGAGCGCCGAACCTCATTCCAGCTTCGGAAAGCAGAGGATCGGGAGCACTACGTCCAGGTACGTTCGGTTCCGCATCCTTGCCAGACGGTCTGCATCCAGTCCATTGTTCCCTCCGTTTCTTCAGTTATTTCTCTTCCCTTGCATCTCCTCGTTCCCCCTTCCCCCATACCACCTCCCGTCTCCGTGCTGACATCACCTCCTCTCTCCTTTCCAACGTCAACTCCCCACCCCTCCTCTCCGCACACACCATCCAGGGCCACCTGATTCGCCTTGCAAGGCTGGATCGTCTCGTCATGCTCAAGGCTGCTGCCACTCCTTGCCGTCCCGTCCCATCCCCTCCCCTCCAACCTCCTGGGCGATCTTAAGGCGGCTCATCCCGATGCTCCCGTTCCTTCTTTCAACCAACCCATGGGGTCTGCTGATTCGCCTCAGAAGCCTGGATCGAATGGTGCACATGCTCAAGGCGGCTGCCACTAATTGCTGCCATGATCTTTCATCCCGGCAAACATTTAGGCTGCTTAGAAATCATCCTCCCGTGCCTTCCACTTCTCAGGGTCTACTGATTGGCCTCGGAAGTCTGGATGAAATGGCGGACATGCTCAAGGCGGCTGCCACTCCTTACCTTCACCTCCCCTCCCCTCTCCTCGCTCCGCCTTCCCCTCCGCACACCTCTCCGCCCACACCTCCCAGGGTCTGCTGATTGGCCTGGGAAGTCTGGATCGAATGGTGGACATCCTCAAGGCGGCTGCCACTCCCGCTGATGCTGCTGCCACCCTCCAGCAAGGTGCGCGTGCTTGCTTGGAGCCCACGGCCCCCTGCTGGTTTGTTCCTGTGTGCATCTGTAAGGCGGCTGCCACTCCCGCTGATGCTGCTGCCACCCTCCAGCAAGGTGCGCGTGCTTGCTTGGAGCCCACGGCCCCCTGCTGGTTTGTTCCTGTGTGCATCTGTAAGGCGCCTGCCACTCCCGCTGATGCTGCTGCCACCCTCCAGCAATTGAATGGTGACTAAACTGTTGTATTCCTCCCCCCACCGTGCATGTGCTGCTGGCATCCATGGGGATATGTGTTTGCCTGTGTGTACGATATGTGGATGCACATGTGTGTGTACGATATGTGGATGGATGCACATGTGTGTGCGCGAACGCATCCCAGCCCTCGGCTTATCCCCCATACAGGCTGATGCTCTTCTCAGTACACCACTCCGGCGCCTCACATCCCTCGAAGTAAGTTGTTGCAACACCATTTCCTCCTCCGAGTGTGTCACAGTCACAGCCACGTGCATGCATCTATGTCTACGTTTTCTCATTCCGTTTTCTCCTCCATCCATGTGAACCCCTCCTCCATCCCCTTTCACCCCCTCCTCCATCCCCTTTCATTCAAAAAGGACGAGTTTGGGGGGCCGAGGAGGACGAGGATAAAGACAAATCCCTTGTTGTGCTCCCTTCCCTTTCAACCCCACCCTTCCCCATCAGGTATCGAAGCTAGAGGAGGAGCACTCCCGTCTGAAGGCAGACATAGCGGACCTGCAGGGGCTACTGGCGAGCAGAAAGAGAATCCTGCAGACAGTGAAGCGCGAGGCCCTGGCGCTCAAGGACGAGTTTGGAGGGCCGAGGAGGACGAGGATCGAGGCGGATGGGACTGCCGGGGACTTGGATCCTTCTGACGTCATTCCCAATGCCACCGTGCTGCTGGTATGTTCTCGTGTGTGCGTGAGCTGGGATGTCTGCTGCAAACGGCCTTGTGTTCTCACGGACGAGTTTGGTGGGCCGAGGAGGACGAGGATAGAGGCGGACGGCACTGCAGGGGACTTGGATCCTTCTGACGTTATCCCCAACGCCACCGTGCTGCTGGTATGTGCTGCTGCTATGCTTGCGTGTGTGTCCGTGTTAGTGTGTGGGTCGGTGTGTGAGTTGGGTCGGTGTGTGAGTTGGGTCGCTGTGTGAGTTGGGTCGTTGTGTGAGTTGGGTCGCTGTGTGAGTTGGGTCGTTGTGTGAGTTGGGTCGCTGTGTGAGTTGGGTCGGTGTGTGAGTTGGGTCGCTGTGTGAGTTGGGTCGCTGTGTGAGTTGGGTCGTTGTGTGAGTTGGGTCGCTGTGTGAGTTGGGTCGGTGTGTGAGTTGGGTCGCTGTGTGAGTTGGGTCGTTGTGTGAGTTGGGTCGCTGTGTGAGTTGGGTCGGTGTGTGAGTTGGGTCGGTGTGTGAGTTGGGTCGGTGTGTGAGTTGGGTCGGTGTGTGAGTTGGGTCGGTGTGTGAGTTGGGTTGTGTGCTTCAAACGGCCTTGCCTGTCCTTCTCCCACTTTCTACCAACTCTTTTTCTCCCTTCAGAACCTGAGCAGGCGGGGGTATGTGAAGCGCATGGCAGCAGACACCTTCTCGGCCCAGAAGCGGGGCACCGCGGGCAAGTGAGTCAGAGCCACATGCCACTCCCTGACCTTCTTTCTCCTTCCTCCCTTCCCTCTCCCACTCTCTTTTCCCTCTTAGAACTTAAGTGAGCGCGGGTATGTGAAGCGCATGGCAGCAGACACGTTCTCACCGCAGAAGGGAGAGACAGAGGGCATGGCAGCCAGTTATTCAGAGAGCCACATGCGCTTCCCTCCCCCTTTTCTTTTCCCGCCTCCCCTCTGCCACACTCCTGCCCCCGTCAGAACCTGAGTGAGCGCGGGTATGTGAAGCGCATGGCAGCAGACACGTTCTCAGCGCAGAAGGGAGAGACAGAGGGCATGGCAGCCAGTTATTCAGAGAGCCACATGCGCTTCCCTCCCCCTTTTCTTTTCCCGCCTCCCCTCTGCCACACTCCTGCCCCCGTCAGAACCTGAGTGAGCGCGGGTATGTGAAGCGCATGGCAGCAGACACGTTCTCAGCGCAGAAGAGGGGCACAGCAGGGAAGTGAGTCAGACAATAAGAGTGCCACATGCCTTTCCCTCCCTTTCATCTTTCCCCCAACCCTTTTCACTCTCCTCCCCACCTCAGAACCTAAGCGAGCGTGGCTACGTGAAGCGCGTGGCAGCAGACACGTTTTTGGCACAGAAGAGGAGTACGTGCCTGCAAGTGTGTCCACAAAAAGAGAGCCACATGCCCCTCCCTCCCTCTCTTTCTCCTTTCCCCCATTTTCCCACTGACATTCCAGAACCTGAGTGAGCGGGGGTATGTGAAGCGCATGGCAGCAGACACGTTCTCGGCTCAAAAGAGGGGCACAGCGGGCAAGTCGGGTGGCAAGCTCAAGGCAGACGATGCCATGGCTCGCTTTGTGGTGTGCCGCACCCACGACACCGTGCTCTTCTTCAGGTCGATTTAGTGCTATCCCTCTCTCTCTGTGTTTTGAGACGTCTCAAAACTACTTTAGTGCTATCCCTCTCTCTGTGTGCACTGTGCATGAGGCAGAGCACACCGTGCTATCCCTCTCTCTCTGTGCATGAGGCACATGGTCTTGGGTAACTCTCTGCCTACGGGTCTCTCTGTGCTGCATTGAGGCAAGTCGGGTGGCAAGCTCAAGGCGGACGATGCCATGGCTCGCTTTGTGGTGTGCCGCACCCACGACACCGTGTGTGTCCCTCAGTGCGTCTCTGTCCCCTATTTTCCGTTTCTCCGCTTGTATAAGGGTCTTGCTCTGCCTTCTGTGCTTTGTGTTGCTGCCTGCAGTCCCAGAGGTGTGGCCTACACCATGAAAGGTTCTCTGGGACGTCTTAAAGCCATGCGACCTCTGTTCTGCTGCCTTCTGTTCTTCCTCCGTGCATCGTGCTGCTGCCTTCTGTTCTTCCTCCGTGCATCGTGCTGCTGCCTTCTGTTCTTCCTCCGTGCATCGTGCTGCTGCCTTCTGTTCTTCCTCCGTGCATCGTGCTGCTGCCTTCTGTTCTTCCTCCGTGCATCGTGCTGCTGCCTTCTGTTCTTCCTCCGTGCATCGTGCTGCTGCCTTCTGTTCTTCCTCCGTGCATCGTGCTGCTGCCTTCTGTTCTTCCTCCGTGCATCGTGCTGCTGCCTTCTGTTCTTCCTCCGTGCATCGTGCTGCTGCCTTCTGTTCTTCCTCCGTGCATCGTGCTGCTGCCTTCTGTTCTTCCTCCGTGCATCGTGCTGCTGTCTGCTTTGCAGTCCGCGAGGAGTGGCCTACACCATGAAAGCTTTTGGGATAACTTTTGAAAAATATGTACATTCCATGCTCTGCTACTCTGCCTTCTGTTCCTCTTCTGTGCGTCACATTGCTGTCTGCAGTGACCGAGGAGTGGCCTACACAATGAAGGGTTATCAGAATCACTTTTGAGAATTCTCTCAAGTAATTTCGGTGCCATCTGTTTCTCTTCCGTCCTTCCTGTTGCTTCCTGTGCCTGTACTGCAGTGACCGGGGAGTGGCCTACACCATGAAAGGGTATCAGATTCCCGAGGGCTCCCGCACTGCCATCGGCTCTCCCATCTCCCAGGCACGTCGTCCCTTCTCCACTACCATTCTGCTACGTCTTGAGTCGACCCAAACATCCCTCTCCCTACTCTTCTGCTACGTTTGACTAGTCCCGGTAAAGCTTACCAGTCATGCGTCTTGCTCCTCCCTCTCCCCTGTTTACCTCTTCTTCCCCCGTCAGATCGTCCCTCTGCAGGACTCAGAGCGCCCCATCTCAGTGCTGCCAGTGGGGGACTCTGGTGGGGTAAGGCTTACCAGTCATTCATCTTGCTCTGCTCCTCCCTCTCCCCTGTTTACCTCTTCTCCCCCCATCAGATCGTGCCTCTGCAGGACTCAGAGCGCCCCATCTCAATGCTGCCAGCCAGTAGGGGACTTCTCACACGACGCTGTCTGGTCATGATGACTCACAGCACCCTACCACCCCCCACCCCACCCTTTCTCCCCAAACACCTTACTGCCCCTTCGCCACCTCTCATCAGATCGTGCCTCTGCAGGACTCAGAGCGCATCACATCAATGCTAACAGTGGGTGACTTGCCAGAAGACGCCCATCCCGTCATGATGAGTCACAATACCCCAACCACCCCCTCCCCTCTCTCTCCCTAAACACCTCCCCGTCCCCCCTTCTTTTCCCCTCCCCCCATCAGATCGTCCCTCTGCAGGACTCAGAGCGCATCACATCAATGCTGCCAGTGGGGGACTTCTCAGAGGACGCCTATCTCGTCAGGATGACCCCGCGGCACCCCCGATGAACCACCCATTCGAGCCTCCTCTCCCTTCCCAAACACCCTCCTGAATCCCCCTTGGCATTTCATCAGATCGTCCCCCTACAGGACTCAGAGCGCATCACATCGATGCTGCCAGTGGGGGATTTCTCAGAAGACGCCTATCTGGTCATGATGACGCGAGGGGGCTTCATCAAGCGCACTGCTCTGCATGCGTTCAGCGACACGCGCAAGAGCGGTCTCATTGCCATTCAGCTGGTACGCTGTGTCTGTCTTCCGTCTGTCTGCACCATCTCGTCATGATGACTCGAGGGGGCTTCATCAAGCGCACTGCGCTGCATGCGTTCAGTGACAAACGCAAGAGTAGCCCCATTGCCATTCAGCTGGTGGGTCTGTGTGTCTGCATGCATCACATGTGTGCCTAGGGTCTGTCTGTCCATCTGTCCGCTGTCCGTCTGTCCATCTCTCCGTCTGTCCATGCGTATGATGACTCGAGGGGGCTTCATCAAGTGCACTGCGCTGCATGCGTTCAGCGACACCCGCAAGAGCGGTCTCATCGCCATTCAACTGGTGAGTTTGTCTGTTGATGCTGGCTTATCTCCATATAGTTGGTAGGTCTGTGTGTATGCACCTGTGTGTGTGTGCCAGTCGAGGTGGGTCAAGGTGAAGCAAGGGAGGAAACTGAGCTGATTTTTGAGGCGCCTCAAAAAGCAAGGGAGGAAACTGAGCTGATTTTTGAGGCGCCTCAAAAAGCAAGGGAGGAAACTGAGCTGATTTTTGAGGCGCCTCAAAAAGCAAGGGAGGAAACTGAGCTGATTTTTGAGGCGCCTCAAAAAGCAAGGGAGGAAACTGAGCTGATTTTTGAGGCGCCTCAAAAAGCAAGGGAGGAAACTGAGCTGATTTTTGAGGCGCCTCAAAAAGCAAGGGAGGAAACTGAGCTCTGACAAGCCCTGAGGAGAAAATGGCTTCACCACATTCCCTCCTGCATTTCTTCCTATACACCTCACGGGATCCCTTTCCACCACATTGAACTCCACTCTGCCCTTCCCCATCCACGTGGCACCCATCCCTCCTAACGTGCGGCAGGGCGACGGCGATGAGCTGGCGTGGGTGCGGAGGGCGACAGCTGGCGACTCCCTATTGGTCGGCTCGCAGTTTGGCAACATCGTTCGCTTCGCGTGTGACGACGACCAGCTGAGGCAGAGTGGGCGCACGGCGAGGGGAGTGAGGGCCATGCGACTGAGGGAGGGGGACATCGTCGCTGCCCTGGAGATCGTGCCATCCGTCGCCTCGTGAGTGCCAGCTGTCGCCTCGTGAATGCCAGCTGCCGCCTCGTGAGTGGCTGCCTTTGCTGGCCGTGCCTTTGGTTGCTCACGAGCCTCACGGCCTCAGCTCTGCTCCACCTGTCGAGGTGCCTCAGTCTCTTGGGGCGCCTCATGTATTGCCTCGGTCGGGCTTCTCACGGCCCATCTCTTCTCCGCTTGTGCAAGTCCCTGCTTTAAATCGACTTTGCTTGCCAGTCCCTTGCTTCCTTACACCAACCTTGCCTTGCTTCCTTCCCGCCCTTCCCCTCGTCACAGCGAGTCCAAGGACGGGGGCCCATGGGTGGTCATGGCCACTCGTAACGGGCTGGGTTAGAAAGCAATTGCGTATGGCTGTGCTGTGCGTATGCTAAGCTCTTCTTTCTTCCCGGCCTTCCCCTTCTTACAGCGAGTCCAAGGACGGGGGCCCATGGGTGGTCATGGCCACTCGCAACGGGATGGGCAAGCGTGTTCCCACGAACCAGTTTGCCAACCAGCGGAGGGGGGGCGTGGGAGTCAAGGGCATCAAGGTGAGTGGATGAGAAAGGGTGAGTGTGGTTTTGATTGGGGGAGTGGGTGGGTCGTGTTTGAAGGGGCGTCAGTGGGTTTGCGTTCGACTCATGTGTTCCCACGAACCAGTTTGCCAACCAGCGGAGGGGGGGCGTGGGAGTGAAGGGCATCAAGGTGAGTCTGGGGCGAAGGGAGTGCGGGAGGGTGTGGTTCATGCGTATGGGGGTGGAATTGGCAGTGTGGGGACAATGCCGTTTCCATGTGGTGATGGGCTGGGCAAATGTGTCAACCAGCGGAGGGGGGGCGTGGGAGTCAAGGGCATCAAGGTGAGTGGATGGGGCAAGGTGGGTGTGGATGGGGCAAGGTGGGTGTGGATGGGGCAAGGTGGGTGTGGATGGTATTGGTGGGGCCATGGGTGGGTCATAAATGTCAACACACGTGGGAAGAGATGATTCGAATGCAAACCAGAGGCTATGGGTGTCAAGGCATTGAGGGCCCCATGCCCACCTGTGCTTCTGAGAATTCTCAAAAGTACCACAAGCATTTTCCGCTGTCCCTCCCATACCTCAATGGTATGCCTCTCTGGGTGTAATGAGTCGTGTTTTGAGTATACATGACTCAAAACACGACTCCCATACTTCACTGGTACGGCTCACTGGTAGTACCTCCCATTCTCACCTGCACGTTATCCCGACCTGAACCCCCTCTCCCCTTGTACCCCCTCCCCCCTCCCCATTCTGCATCTCCTGCAGTTGGGCCAAGGGGATGCACTGGTGGTGCTACGTCTGGTGGGGGAGGGCACTGCTGACAGAGACGGTGAGAGGGGGAAGTGGTAGGAGCGTGGGAGGAGAGTGTGGGAGAGGGGACGAGAGGGCAGGAGAGGGTATGATTGGATAGGAAAAGTTAATTCTGGTGGCACTGCGTCTAGTTGGGGAGGGCACTGCTGACAGAGACGGTGAGAGGGGGGAGTGGTAGGATGGGGGGAGGAGGGGGGGTTGATGGGGTGAAAGGGCAGTGCTGCACTCGTGGCACTGCGTCTGGCGGGGGAGTGGAGAAAGGGAGGATAGGATAATCTTTGAAGGTGTTTGTGGGTGGAAAGGAGAGGGTGCACGTGCTTCTGCAACCTTCCTGCTCCCCCTACTTTCCCGCCTCTCTCACGCTCTCTCTTACATACCGACCGCCCTCTTCCTCCCGAAATCACGTTACCCTGCCCTCTCCCCTCTCTTACTCCCCAAATGCGCATTTCCCCTACCCCCTGTCCGCCTCGTCCATCCCACACGCACTCTCCTGTCTCCACCAACCCCCACCCCCTATCCCAATCCCACCAGCCACTGACACTACTACCGAGGCAGCTTGTATGGAGTACGGGGAATTACTGGTGGGCAGTGACGGGGGAATCATCAACCGGCTGCGAGCGCGAGACGTCCCCATCCTCTCCTTCCCTGTCCACTCATCCCCATCCTCCATCCTCTCCCCCCCATCCTAGCAGCCACTGAATACACAATGGAGGCAGCCGCCGCTGCTGCTGCTATGGAGTACGGGGAGCAGTGACGGCGGCATAATCAACCGGCTGCGAGTGCGGGACATCCCCATCCTCTCCCGCACCACCCCCTTATTCCCCATCCCCTCATACAGCCACTGACGCCACTACCGAGGCAGCTTGTATGGAGTACGGGGAGCTGCTAGTGGGCAGTGACGGCGGCATAATCAACCGGCTGTGAGTGCGAGACATCCCCATCCTCTCATCCCTTGCCCCACCAGGCGTTGACACCGCCACTGAGGCAGGTGCTGCTATGGAGTACGGGGAGCTGCTAGTGGGCAGTGACGGCGGCATAATCAACCGGCTGCGAGTGCGGGACATCCCCATCCTCTCCCGCACCACACGAGGATGCCGCCTCATGCGCATAGCCTCGGGGGATAGCCTGGCGTCGCTTTCACTGGTGCCGGGCGCTGCAGAGGGCGAGTTGGAGGAGGATGGCGTGCCGTTAGTAGTGCCCGAGGGAGGGGTGAGCGATGAGGAGAGTGAGGAGGAGAAGGTGGAGGGAGAGAGCAGGGTAAAGGCGAAGGTGGTGTAGGGTGGGCGGTCAGGTGGATGAGGGGTGGAGGAGGAGGAAGAGGAGGAGGAGGGGAAGGGATGTCGCCTCATGCGCATTGCCTCGGGGGACAGCCTGGCGTCGCTTTCACTGGTGCCGGGCGCTGCAGAGGGCGAGTTGGAGGAGGATGGGGTGCCGTTAGTAGTGCCTGAGGGAGGGGTGAGCGATGAGGAGAGTGAGGAGGAGAAGGTGGAGGGAGAGAGCAGGGTTAAGGCGAAGGTGGTGTAGGGTGGGCGGTCAGGTGGATGAGGGGAAGGAGGGGGAGGGGGTGCCGTCTCATGCGCATTGCCTTGGGTGACAGCCTGGCATCGCTGTCGCTGGTGCCGGGCGCTGCTGAAGGGGAGCTGGAGGAGGATGGGGTGCCGTTAGTAGTGCCCGAGGGAGGGGTGAGCGATGAGGAAGGAGGAGAGGAGATGGAGAGTGAGGAGGAGAAGGTGGGTGGGAGCAGGGTAAAGGCGAAGGCAGTCCAATAGTTGGTAGCGTGGCCTTTTGTTGAGGGTAAAACAGAGCACACAGAGAGCACAGTGCAAGCCTCGCGTCACTGTCGCTGGTGCCGGGTGCTGCTGGGGGAGATTTAGATGACAATGAAGTGCCACTGGTGGTGCCGGAGGGAGGGGTGAGTGATGAGGAGAAGGGGGAGAGTGAGGAGGAGAAGATGGAGGGAGAGAGCAGGGTGGTAGTTGGGATGTAGGGTAGAGAGTGGTTGGATCTGTGGGTAACGAGCAAATGCTCAGCAGCACTGACAAGACTTGACTGGGGGTTTCACTTTACGAGTCTCTTTGCTTTGCATCACACCAGGCCAGGGGCTTCAGTTGTTACTCGAGAGGTGCAATTTGAAATCCACTTGAACTTTCCATGCCTGTATTGAAAGTGCCATTACAGTACACTAAGGGTGCATTCCTGCCTGGACATTTGTGTCTCAATCGTTTTGTGACGCGAGCAAACAGCATAAAACGTACCATGTCACAAACCCGAGACGCGTTTCAGCGACCATTGCTGTATTTTTCATTGGTCAGCGTGAAACGCGCTGACGTCGCGGACGAGTTGCAAATTGACCCGTCACTGGTAAAAAGTCGCACGCGGTTCGAAATGTCAATGCTCCTGGACACCCCACAATGCGAATTTCGCGCGCGTAAAAATACCCGCGCGTCGAAACCACACCCCAGCCAGGCGGTTGAATAAAAGGGTGTACAGTCATTTGCGAAATCCAATCAAATGCGCACAACTGTACATTTCGCCTGGTCGCCTAGTGTCGCGATGCATTCAATTTTTGTGACGCGAGGTTCCCAAAATGTTTCGACGCGACTCGGGGAAACGGGGATTGAGACACAAATGTCCAGGCAGGAATGCACCCTAATCATATTGAAAATTATATGCAGCTATCTTCACTACAACCTAAGTGGGGCATCCACAGTGACGACGTGGATAACAAAGATAAGGACAGTCAAAGTCTCAGGTGCAGCAGGAACCAGGGACGGGAGAAGAGGACAGCAGTTCTCAGGTGGTCTCCTCTCAAGTGGCGTTGGTCCCAACCCAAGCAGTCAAAACGTGAGTTGCTTTGAGAAATGTTGAAAGCACAAGGCCCTCTCATGCTCATTCACTCCTAGTCCTGCAAGCAACGTGCACAGAGAACGCCAACGGTTGGGACAGAATAGGGGGACAGAAAAGATCACTGAAAGGGAGCACAGACAGAGCCCTGGCAGCATGGGAAAGGGGGGGTGGAGGGTGGGGGGAGGAGTGTGGGTGATTGTGCCACGTGGACATTCAGGATGCAAGAGGAGTGAAGGCAGAGCCAAAGACAAAGGCAGGGGCAGAGTCAGCAGGGTCAGCTGCGGCACAGCAGGGACAGAATGGATGGCAGGGATGGCAGGGATGACAGGGGACGGCAGGAGAAGAAGGAGCAGCTCTGGCAACAGCGAGGGAGAGGGGAGGGGAAGGAGGGAAATGCAGCATCTGGCCGCCTAGAATGCAGCGCAGCCGGTGTAGGCAGTTCTTGAGGCGTCTCAGAAGGCGATTTTTTAGGCGCCTCAAAAACAGCATATGGCTGCAGCGCAGTCGGTGTAGGCAGAGCCATTGCATGCAGCCCCGTACCCTGCTTACCAGCCCCGCTTACCCGAGGCACTACCCAGGCGTCTCAAAAACCCTCCCTCTATACCTGCGGCAGTTGATCCGACGACCCTGATGCACCAGTAGTCGTGGGAGGGACAGGAGCAGGGGCAGCAGGGGCAGCCCTGCTCCCACCCTGGTTACCTGGGGCAGGGCACTATCGAAACATCTAACCCTCCATACCTGCGGCAGTTGATCCGACGACCCTGATGCACCAGCAGCAGCGGCAGCAGCAGATGGGACCGGGGCAGGGGCAGGCGCAACGGGGGGCGGAGCAAAAACGGCAGGCGCAGCGGGAGCAGGGGCAGCGGAGGCGGCTTTAGCAGCAAGCGGGGCGGAGAATCGCGGCACGTGGCCGTCGAGAATGCGCGAGCAGTCGGTGTAGGCGGAACCGACGCCGCAGCCGGCGCCAAAGGCAAGCGCCGCCCAGCGACTCGTGGGGCTCCCTGCGCGGCGAAGGAAGGGGGAAGTGTTGACGGAGGGGGAAGGGTGGAAGGAGGGGAAGGAAAGGAGGATGCGGAGAGGGAACGACTTGAGCATGCGCCAAAAGGCGAGAGCAGTTGGTGTAGGCGGAACCAACGCCGCAGCCAGCGCCGAAGGCGAGAGCCGCCCAGCGACTCGTGGAAGACTCTGAGGGGTGGCGGGAGGGGAAAACGAGGAGGGAGGGAAATGAAAGGGGAGATGCGTGGGAGGGCGGGGGGGGAAGGGGGAGGGGAACGGCGCGGGGGAGGGGAACGTAAGGGGGCATGCGTGTGGGGGGGAGGAATAGCTAGAGCGGTCAAGCGTCTCGTGGGGGTCCTTCAAAACAAGACGGATCACTCACTAAAGAGGACGAGGCCGGTGGCGGCGCCCGCGAGCGAGCTGTAGACGACTCGGCGGAGCGAGAGGTCGACGCAGAGATCCCATTTGTCGTCCATCAGCAGATCCTGCGCGCGCCGACTCGGAGCAGCCATGGCTGCCGATTCCGATTCCTTTTCGTCCTTTGTTTCTTTCTTCCTTTTTTTTATTCGTTTCGCTTACTCTTCCTTCCCTCTCCTCGTTCTCCGTTCAACGGTTCCGCGACGGTGGTAACCTTCACGAAGCTCCTAGCTGTTCGCGACGGCTACACGGCGCCCCAAAAACCGGTACGCGCAGGCTTGTGATACGAGACTGGTGGTGGAGATTCGCTGGTACTACGGATTCGAGCGCAAAAAATATCTGAGATTCGTGCGCAAATTAGGCTGTATTTGAGGGAATACGGACTCGCGGAAACCAGCAGCAGCTTCGGCGCAGCGTCTTGCGCGACGAAAGATCGGGGCGCGACGGGGATGCCGCTGGTTAGAACGGCTTAGAAACTGGGCTGGCCAAAGCGACTGGCGGAATGCGGTGTCGGAAACTAGGGCAGGGAGGAAAACGCTTGGGGGAGGGGGAAGAGGGGAGGGGAGAAAGGGGAGGGTGGGGGAAGGATGGTTGGGGAAAATGGGGGTGTTTGTGAGGTGGGGGGAACGGTTGGGGAAACTGTTGGAGCAGCTGTGCGGGGACGTGGAGGGAAAGTGATTTACAGTAGCATGAAGATTATTTTCCCTGTTTTCTGAGTTTTAGTGAAGGTTCTTATGGAGGGGATGAATTTCCGCGATGGTGAGGACGCGGTAAAAGTAGACGATCGATCGTCTGTCGCATTCGATGTGCGGATTAGTTACCCTGTTTACATACAAGTAACCCAGCTACAGTGACAATTTTAGACAAAATACACATACATTCAGACAGGACGACTGATCGGCTATCAATCGCGGCATCGCTGGGAAGCAAATGCCGACGAACCGAGCTTACAGTGATGACTGATCCAAATGTTTGCGACGTGACAGTGTTTCGCTAAGCGGGTGAAATGAGTCGCAAAATTTTCACATTTCAGAGAGCCATCGATTCGCCGACCAGGTTGCCCTGTGAAGTGCGAATTTCGCACTCGTGCTTGTACGAAATTGTATAAAGCGTGTGACCTCTGCGCGCCAAAGTGATCCCGGCGAATGGAACATAGCGCTCAACATTTTTTTCCGATCGTTACAACGCCGGGTGTGCATCGTTTCACCGATCAATTCCCCAAAGCGATCGCGAGAATCGATATTCTCTCACGATCCTCCAATTTTGTCACTTTCACCGCGTCCTGAGGACATTCAAGTATTCGGTTTCGCTCAACCGTAATCGAGACCTATGTAACTGTGTAAAGTTGCAATTCACCTCACTGAACCTGCGACAAACGCGAGTTTACAACCTGAACAGATTAGACATCAGGCAAATGTAGATACAGCAACCTGCGACCTAGACGAATGTAAATCTATGGAAGCACAACTCCGCGCGCTGATCGTAGGTATTAGCCGTGACGATCGAACAACACCGACCAGCTCGTTGCATTCGCAATTCCTCCAACAATGAATTCCGTTACCATGCTGCGACTGCCCCAGCACCAAATTCAAACCCCTCATTGCCCTCGCACATTCGCGTCGCAGCAACCGCCTCGCGACCAGGTCGCATGTTCCCGACTAGCGCGTCGTCGGAATAATCGCATCAGCGTCGGATGGCAGCCCTGCGACAGCACTCCCTTCAGGCGACGAGGGACCGATCAAATTCACCTTCCCCGCTCGCCGCTTCGCCATCCCTGTTCCTTCTCCCCGCGTTTCCCGCTCATATCCTCACAGCACCATCCCGCCTCCGATCCACCGCCACCCGCGGCGGCATCAGCGGCCGCAGCATTCCGCACCGCCGTGCGCCTTGGCCTGCTGCTACTGGGCGGCACGGCGGCATTCGCGGCGGTCGGCACCACTGTTGCATCTGCTGTCTTTGTCGCGTTGGCGTGCCATCGCGGGATGGATGGACGGCCAGGATCCGCTCCTCGCGACTGGGGGGCGCTGTTTGAAGGAGGAGGGGGCGGGGATGCAGGAAGTGGGGGAGGGGGAGGGGGAGGCGGAGGGGGAGGGGGAGGGGAAGGGGGAAGGGGAGGGATGGGGGGGGATAAACAAGGGGAAGCCGCTCTCTCAATTTTTGAGATGTCTCAAGAAGAGGTGGAAGATGCTGGGGGGAATGGTGGAAATCAATCAGGGAAAGGTGGCACTGTCCCCAAGGGGAAGGTTGCACCACCAGTGTACGTTATAATCCCAGCTCTGAACGAGGCATCAGCGCTTCCAATCACGCTGCGCCACCTGGCAAAGCTCTCCCCGCCGCCCGCCAGTGTTATAGTTGCCGACGGCGGCAGCACAGATGGCACGCCGCGATTGGCTAAATCCCTGGGCGCGGTGGTGGTGGCTAGTGAGAGGGGCAGGTCGGTTCAGATGAACACAGGCGCATGGAAGGCGGTGCAGCTGATGCAGGTGCAATGGGGGGAAGCAGAGGAACTTGCTCAAGGAGGTTCGAGCAGCACGGGTCGAAGCAGCGGTAGTCCCAGCAACGCAAGCAGCGGCATCCTTTGTTTTGTTCACGCTGACACGCTCGTACCATTGGATCTCGTCACAATCCTGAGGAGGACACTGCAAGACCAGTCAGTGTGCTGCGGGGGGTTTGTGCCTGTGGTGGCTGTGCCGGGGCGGGTCTTCTGGGGCATGTGCCTCCGGAATGTGGCTAAGGCCTGGTATGTGCCGCTGCTTGCTCCTCCACGGTATGCTCAGTTGCGTGATGCTGATAAGGCGTCGCTTACAGTCACGGGCCAAAACCACAGCAGGAGCAGCAGTAGCAGTGGCGGTGCCAGCAGCGGGAGTGGCAGTGGCAGCAGCAGCGGCGGCTCTAGAAACAGCAATTGTGAGGTCGGTACGGGTTCTGCATGGTTCAGTGGTGTTGCGGCGTTCTTTCGGGGTATGCGCATGCTATATGGAGACCAAGCCATGTTCTGCCGGGCACAAGACTTTGCATGCATTGGAGGGTTTGATGAAAGGCTGGCTATTCTGGAAGATGCTGACCTGTCAGAGAGGCTTCATGTGGATGGCTGGCGAAGAACCATGCCAGTTAGCAGCGTTCAGCGGATTAGCAGAGCCATGGCAGTTGGCAGGGATTCTGTTGGTGACATTGGGGGGTCTGATTGTGATGGGAAGTTGATAGTTAAACGTGGCGGTAGGATGGTTATGCTTCCGCGAGTGGTGGTTACAAGTGGGAGGAGGTTTGAGTACCTGGGTGCGTTTCAAGCCACCTTGGCTAACATTATTATAGCGAGCGCATACATATTTAGAGCTCCACCTGATGTGCTTTACAAGCTGTATAAGAGATTGTATTGTGATGTGAGATAGACGGCTGTATATTTTCTTCCGAAACATGTACACTTCTACAGGATATCGCAATTTGACCCAAAGCCAGGTTTTCCTTACTAGATATTCCGGACTCGAGCTTCGAATACGACCAATCTTGTCACGCCGCTCAGGCCACCGTCAACAAGCTCTGCGTCCAGGCAGGACTGAACGCCAACTCACCACACGCGCCGAGACTCTGATTGGACGAATTCGTGGAAGAAAGGCGGCCAGGACTACTACCCTGGGATGGGAATCTCTTCCCGCCATGCAGACAGGCGCAAATAGCTGGACGAGGAGGCCGCAAAAATCCCCAGTAGCAAATCCCAGGGGAAAGAATCATAGCTAGCCCATTTCGACCCACAACTTCCACTTGCGAGCACCACATTCTGAACTACATCGTTTGAGGATTCTCTGTCGTCAAGCAGTGAAGTAACATTAGTTTTTCCTTTGGTTCCCGAGTCGCGCTCGGGGTATCTGATACATCGTCGCTGGAAGCGTAGGAAGTATCGGACAAGAGCTTTTTGACTGGCCTGTCCTGCGCGATTTGCTGTTTTTGAGTCGACTCAAAGGTCGTTCGTGTTTGCGGATCGGCGCTCTGGCTACTTCGACCGTCGTGGCGGAAGCGTCGTTGCCTTCGTCGTCTGAGGACTCGTCGTCTGCGGCGTCGATGGTGCCGCAAGGTGACGCGAAAATGAACTCTTTCGAGATCGAGGACAGTCCCTACAACAACGACAAGCGGCGGCGGTCCAACAGCCTCTTCGTGGTCAGTGGCTGTGCCCCTCGCTCCTCGCCCCTCGCTCCCCTGCCTCTCGATCTTCCCCCTGCTCCATTTCTTTGCTTCACTTGAGTCTGCTAAATGAACTCTTTCGAGATCGAGGATAGTCCCGACAACAACGACAAGCGGCGGCGGTCCAACAGCCTCTTCGTGGTCAGTCCGCGCTGCTCTTGAGTTCTGAGGCTTCCCAAAACCTAAAACTCAGTCGTGCTCCCTGCTCCTTCTGCCGCCATTGCATTGCGTCGTGCTTTCCGTTCGCCAGTTTCGGGTACGTGATGCCGGCTCGTAGCAAGACGCAACTTATAGTTGCAAGTTGAAATGAGGAACGGAAAGTTGCAAGTCGCTCTGCCGCTAGTCGTTTCGAAGCAACGCTGAGTCGAAAAGGGTACAACTTCAAAGACGTCTCAAAAGTCGCTGAGCCGAAATGGATACAACTCAAAACGTCGCCCGCGGTTTGGTGGCTGAAAAGAAGCCTTTGGTGAGGAGGAAGTTAGAGTTTGAGACGTCTCAAAACCAGGTCGATTCGTGGCTGAGAGGAAACCTTTGGTGAGGAGGAATCCAAGGTTGGGATGAGCGCCACTCATACCGACGAATGCTGAGATCCGCTCATACCTTTACTAGGCGCCTACAAACTCCTACCGCTGTCAGGATCCGAGGTTCGGGATGAACGAACGGGCGCGCCGCGCTAAGGCTGCTAAGCGCCTTTCATGTTTGATTCTGGGTCAAGTATTTGTTGTCAAGCTACCGCTTTCGATACACTTCTTCCTCGTCCTTTCCCCTCTCACCAACATCCGCTTCCAAATCTCTGCCTTGTTCCTCCCCTTCAGTCTGCAAACAGGCGACGCAGTCGCGCCCCTCTCTGTAGCGTGTGACGCACGTTTGCCTCAAACTGCCCGCCGCGGCCCCCCACCCCACTCCAACCCCCCCTTCTTTCTCCCGACACCCTTGCCTTCATTGCTTCTCCTTCCCATTCTCGCAGGCCAGGACCTGCTCCGGTCTCCGGCCCTCCGTGTAGCGTGTGTGGCATTTTTCTCTCAAGCAGTCTCTTTCCCCCACCCCTCCCTCTTCCCCCCTTCTCCCCGCGCCCCTGCCCTCTCCAACTCTCCCCCAACCCCCGTCTCCCCATCCCCACCCCCCGTGCCTTGCCGTTGCCTGCGGCGAGCGGGTGTGTACCTGCAGCAGTCGCCGGCGCTTCAGTTCGCCGCCTTCCTCTGCACGCTCGTTTTCTCAAGTCAAGTCACCCCCTTCTCCCCCCCCCCTCTTCCCCTGGGTTCTCACACGCTTCTCTTCCCCGTGCCTGCAGCGAGCGGGGGTGTACCTGCAGCAGTCACCAGCGCTTCAGTTCACCGCCTTTCTCTGCACGCTCGTTTTCCTCTGGGGCATCACCTTCGCACTCTCCCCCAACCGCCTGCCGTAGCTGCTGTTTTTGTCAAACCTCCTGCAGCTGCCGTACCTCCTGCAGCTGCCGTACCTGCTACAGCCGCTGTACCTGCTGCAGCTGCTGTACCTGCTAAAGCCGCTGTACCTGCTGCAGCTGCTGTACCTGCTAAAGCCGCTGTACCTGCTACAGCTGCTTCGCATGCTGCACACAGACAGAACTTTTGGGCCATCATGTTTGCACTCTCACCCAACCGCTCCTTGCCGTACCTGCTGGTTGCCATGCCTTAGCATGCTCCCCAGCCGCCGCTGGGCCATCATGTTTGCACTCCCATCCAACCACTCCTTGCCGTAGCAGTAGCTGCCGTAGCTGCTGAGAATGGGTGGCTGTGGTTTGATTATAATAATAAGCCATGCTGGGGGATAATTGGATTTTTTGGGGGGGGGGGTTGGGGGGATGAGGAGGGGTTGGAGGCGGGAGGAGGGAGGGTTGGGGTTGGATGTGTTAGGAGGTTGTTGTGTGGGTGGGTAGAGGATATTAATTTCAAATGTGGAAGTGTATGTCAATTATAACTGTGAAATACATTACAAGTGTGAAAGCCACCTTTTCAAATTCTCAATATATTGATTTGTGCATTATGTACACACAAAGCATTTAATGTTTGTGTATACTTAGTTCTGAAAGCTACAGTAACCTTACTGAAATATTTCATAAACCAGTTGTTCTCTGTGACGGCTAAGCCTCGTAAGACTCTCCTCATCAGCCGCTGAGCCGCTGAGTCTCTTCTCCCATTCCCTTCCCCACATCTCGCCACTGCCATTCTCCCTAACGCCCTCCCTGTAACCTCTCGCTTCTCTTCCTTTTCGCTCTTCCTCCATCTCTTCAGTCAAGATATCCTGCTGCTGCTTCCTCTTCTCCCCATCTCCCTCAACCCTTCTCACTGCTTCTAAGTCTCTATATGCTTCAGACCCCTGATCTCTACCCTCCATTGGCAAACTATTCATGATTTCTTGCCGAACCTCCTCCCAAGCCTCCCCCCGAGCCTCCTTCTGAACTTCCTCAAGAGCCTCCTCAAACTCCCTCCAAACCTCCTCCTCAGCCTCTCCAGAAGCCCCCTGCTCCTCCCCAACCTCCCCCAGCTCTTCCTGAACCTTCTTCCGAGCCTCATTCCATGCCGTGGCAAATGCACAGTCAGCAGCATCGATTGCTGACGTGGCATAATCCTCCACGTCACCATCCAGAAAGCCTCGGCCTGTCTCCCCATCAGCTTGTATCGGCGCTCTCAGCAGCCTCGTCAGAAGCCCATACTCCTCTGCCCTTTTAGACCGGGTAGTTTCCCCTCGAAAAGTCTGCCCCAGGACACCGTGCACTGCCCCTGTGTTCTGTTGTGTTTCCAAAAAAATAAAAAGCAAAAAACAGAGCGAAGAAATGGGGGTTATATGGCAACACAAGGTGTATAAAGGGGGGTTATATATATTAAAAAAAAAACAGATGTAAAATCAACGGAATCTGGAACTCACGAGGATGCATATATATGGGGAATCTATGGATTTCTTTGGTGCGGTGAGGAGTAAACAGTTTCTGAATTATCATCCAAGCCTCCAAGCCATTTAGTGTAAACAGGAAATGGGAAACAGGAAAGCCATGAACAGTGTATATATGCACATAGTTAACTTCATTTATCGACACTCACATTGAGGTACTTGACATGGACGTTGAAGTGAGTGTGAGCCTCGTCAGGTGTTTGCAGCAGCGGGTGCGCGGCATGCAATGAGAGCTCCATGCTTGCCACTCCCCCCACGCGCACAAGGAATGTGTCCCTGTCCCTCCCATCCCCCAAGGGCCCTGTTGATAGAAGTACCATGTGGAAGAGCCCCTCCCCATGCACTGCCTGCCCCACCTGGGGATGGAGGGAGGGAGAGTTAGGGGAGGAGAGAGAGGGTTGGTATGTGTCCCTGTCCCTGCCATCCCCCATGTAAAAATGAGGGGAAAGGGCAGCCGAGGAGAGGAGGATAAGGTGGGAGTTGCAGCAGCGGGTGTGCAGAAAGCAGCGACACCTGAGAATCTGAGAGGAGAAAGTAGGTTCACCGTTCAGTGTGAGAGTTGGATTGGACACCAGAATAACCCGGGGGGGGTGACATGTACGCAAACTCATGAAAGAAATACCTGAGTTGGAGGGGAAACAAGTTGGCCATCAAGCTCCATCCTCTCAATGAACCCTCTCTCCCCCCGCCGCTGCTCCTTGCCATCCCGCGCCTTGAGGAACACCGAGTGCTGCCAGCCAATGGAATCTCGCCACGTCATGTAGAGCTCCCTGGATGGCAGGAGCAGGCACGAGGAAACGGAAAATGACAACAAGGTTAAGTTTTCTGATAAGAATGCCGGCCATCCTCGCGTCCACGTTCATCATTTTGATCGTCATCCACGTTGACATGTACACACATCCCGGTCCAGGGATAAAAATGACACCATCCTCGCGTCCTCATACCCCTTGATGCCCATACTGACAGACATGCACATCCCGGTCAGTCAGCAGGCAGAAGGACTAATTCAGCTCCCCATGAAAGTCAAACCTACCCCAGGAGACACCCAGTCCAAGACACTTCCTAGCCTACCTGATCCAGGACCGTATGGGCAGTCTGTGTCTTCGCTTCCCTCCTCTCCTCCTGCCCACGACCAGTCTCGGATCCTCATACCCCTTGATTCCCATGTTGATATGCAAATCCCGGTCAGTCAGCAGGCAGAAGGACCGATTTAGATCCCCGTGGAAATCAAATCTCGTGCCCTCCGCGCCCACGAAATGCGGGTCGTTTTTTACTGTCGCGAGCGGGTTGCATTTGCCTCCGATATAAGACGGAGGGACGCTCGTTATAGTGTTGTCTACGGTGAATTTCGTCAGGTTGGGAAGCAGCCTGCAGGTCCCGGCGGTGCCGGCAACGCTGGGGGGTGGTTGAGAGGAGAAGACGGGGGAGAGAGGGAGGAGGGAAAAAAGGGATGATATTTTATATTAGGTACAGTGCAGTGCTCGCTTAGAGTACTAGTCCATACCACTCGTCTGCGCCACTCGTGGGAAGTATCAGCACAGCAGCACTGACAGCGGCAGCGATTGGCACGTTTGGCAGGGAGTGGGTGGGGGACAGTGAGCATCAGCACAGCAGCACTCACGTTGGCGGCTGGTAGTGAAAGAAGACGCACTTGTCGGCTTGCGCAGTGGAGAAGCGAGGGGGAGCAACACACACTCACTCACACACTCACGTTGGCGGCTGGTAGTGGAAGAAGACACACTTGTCGGCCTGCGCGCAAGTTTGGCAGCAGCCGTTCTCGTTTGTGGCCTGTACGTGGATGGGCGGAGTTGGAGGGACAAGGGTGGGAGATGGGAGGGGACGAGTGGAGGAAGAGGGGGGAAAGCAAGGGAGCATGGAACACTTTAGGGCACACGTTTGGCAGCAACGCAAACTAGCAGGAAGAGTGGACAAGAGGGAACAGCTTCTGAGGCGCCCCAAAACCAACAGGAAGAGTGAAGGCGGAACGAGAGGAGACAAGGGGAGGGACGGGCAGCGGAATGAGAGGCAAGTGGAAGTGCGACGCGGAGGGCGGGGAGGGCAGAGAGGGCGGGGAGGGCGGGAAGGGCGGGGAGGGCGGGGAGGGCGGGGAGGGTGAGGAGGGCGGGGAGAAAGGGGAGAAAGGGGAGGGCGGGGAGGGCAGGGAGGGCGGGGAGGGCGGAGAGGGCGGGGAGGGCGGGGAGGGCGGAGAGGGCGGGGAGGGCGGGGAGGGCGGAGAGGGCGGGGAGGGCGGGGAGGGCGGAGAGGGCGGGGAGGGCGAGAGAGAGGCGGAGAGGGCGAGAGAGAGGCGGAGAGGGCGAGAGAGAGGCGTACCGTGGTCTTGAGTATCACGGTGGTGCTGTCTATGAGCTGCCGGGGGGAGGAAGGGGGAAAGGGGGAGAGGGCAGGGAAAACAAGGGGAAAGAGGGGGATAGGGCAGGGGAGGGCAGGGGAGGGCAGGGGACGACAGGGGACGACAGGGACGGATGGTTTAAGCGGGACAACAAAGGGGAGAGAAGTTGGCGGGAAAGGGACGCGAGGAAGCAAACTTGCAAGGAGTCGCTGTGTTACCCGCCGTAACCCGCTGTTACCAGCTGTTACCACTGTTGTCGCTGTCACTGTTGTAGCAGCACTGTTCCCCGGTTCCCCGCTGCTGCCCGCACTCAACTGCCGTGCCTACTTTTTCCGATCCACCTTATACCGCTACCATTTTGTACCGCCGTTCACGCTCGTAATCAGAGACGCCGTGCCCTACACAGGACAACCTCATTGCACCGTATTGAACCGCACTGTACCAACACCCACCTTGTACCGCTCGTAATTCATGTTCCCGTTCGAGCTGATAACGGTCGACGCTGTACCCCCTAACAAGCCTAACAAGGGAACCGCATTGTACCGCATCCAACCGCACTCCAACGTGCAACACCCACCTTGTACCGCTCGTAATTCATGTTGCCGTTCGCGCTGATAATCGTCGACGCGGTACCCGACGACAAAAGCCACCTGCCCTTGGTGTAGCTGACGCAGCGTGACGTCAGACAGCCGCCCTTTGGCGTCATCACGTCGAGAGTGGCAGCGAGGGCCACGTGGCAGGGGGGGTTACTAGACGGGAGCATCGATGCTAGCAGGACGAGCGGGAGGAGGGCTGCTAGCGCGAGGCGAAAGGAAGCTAAGGGTGCGCGCAAGCAGCGGGGAGAGGAGAGGGGAATGGAGCGCGGAAGGGGGGTGGCGCGCGGAATGGGAGTGGCGCGCGGAAGGACAGAACCGAAAGCACGAAGAGCGTGATGATGGACACGGCGGCATCGGCGGCGGTGGCAGCGGCGGCTTCGGGGAGAATAGGGTTGGGAGCGACGGACGGATGGGGGAATGAGGGACAAGGAAAATAGGCGGTCCCGTGGCGTTCGCATTGGCATCATCACGACTTTTTTAGGATCTGATCACTATCGGAGGAGCCTTTAATGGAGATTATTGCATTGGAAATTATCAATGGTCACTGTATCAGACGTTACTGTATCGGAAGTGTTACTGTGCGCGAAATGGTGGCTGCCTCGTGCGAGGAGAAAGCGAGGGACTGTCAACCACGTATACTATGCGCAATGCTACAGGTCAGTGTTCGGTGGAACTTTTATCTGCTCCTAGACCTCATATAATCAGGAAAATTAGTGGCCCAAATAACTAGATCTGAGAAGAACTTTGCTACCATAGCTTCTGCGCTTCTGCGAAATCGTCTGCTGCCGCACCGACTGCCACATCTTCTACCATAGAACCTTCTGACGCAGCTTCTAACGCAGCTTTTAACGGCTATCAACGGAGCTTCTAACGCGGATCCTCGGGGCTCCTCGCGTCTGACTTCTCTTTTCGCAGCGCATCGGGGTGCATGTCAAATTGGCTCGACTTATACTAAAGCTACGTAACGACTTTTCGGCAGCAGTTCCGAAACAGCAATGTCTTTCTCGAAATAGAAGGTTTTAGCCAAAACCTAAGGCACGATAGTTCCTCATGCCTACGGGCCATCCTAGATCTTGTTGCTTGAGCTCTCGCACACAGAACAAGAGGCATACAGGACAGGGCCTCGAGCCGAGCTGGTAAGCCGAGCCGATCAGGGGCACCGCAATACAGTGACAGTAGCTACGCTGTAATTAATTTACCGCGCGCTCCCCACAGGAAAAGCGGAACTTAGCTGGCAGAGGTTCAGAAATTAAATGGGTTTCACGTGGTTTCAGTATACTCTAAAACTATATTATTTGGTAGAATGTGGTTGAGATGCCGTTCAGTTATCCAACCCCTCGATGTAACACCAATCGCCGTGCTGACTGGCTATCACCAAGCTGGGATGAGCAGGATTTAGGAACTGACATGACGCAAACATTGTTGGGCGCAATCACGCATGCGAAATAGTGGTCGCGAAATGCGGACGAGATTGAAATTGCTGCTGATAATGTTGGCGAGCAGCTTGACCTGACGCTCACGAAATGTTGGCGAATTCATCAACGGAACTGTGGTTCCAGCTTGTGGTGGGTCCTTCAAATAATAGAGTCGGAGGGTAACGATCTCGATTTTGTCTCACCAGGGTCAAGTGAACAGCTTCAGGGGATTTCGCACGGAGCATCTGCGGTGTGGGGTTTGGTCGAGGGTTTGGCCTGGGGACCAAAGCACTGATTGACCAATCAGGGCTTGACCAAGATTCGATGCAGCATTTCAAATTTCAACAGCACCAGCATTCACCTCACCCAACAGCAGCGTGTTTGGTTGGTCGCTCGTCAGTGGTTTTGACGGGAATGGGAGGAAACAGCTGGCTGGATTCTTCTGTCCTCCCGCTGAACCGACTGATGAAACTGTCAGGACGCGTCACAATTGAAACATCGATCCTGCGCAGGATCGGTGTTTCGCGGGTACAGTTATTCGTTAAGTTGCGAATCAGTGGTTACTTGACTTCGTTAGTTTTCGCAAATATACAGTTGTCCCCTCAAAGTCACGCGATCGATGTGCCCTTGCCACACATCGATCGTGCAATTTCGTCCAGATCGGGCGATTTTGCCCCATGATTTCTCAAATGTGTCCCTTGAGAATTGCGGTGAGCCCGCGATTGCAACAATGCAGTCGTGGCACACCGATGTGGCGATCGATTTGGCAGGATCGGTGAACACCCCCGATCCTTCCTCGGTATTTCAATTGTGACGCGTCCTCAGGATGATGTTGACACGGCCTGCAAGTGGGAAGCAGAGGACGGGTGAGGGTTTTGTCGGGATGAGCACTGTTGTCGGAAACATACCTTGTACAAGTTTCAGGATCACCCGCTTCTGCTACGTTCAAATACACTGAATGACAATCACTATTTCACCGTTCAAAACCAATCACTTGTGCTGGAGCCATGTAAATCCATGCTAGCAACCATACCTCAACTAACTTGTGGATTCCTCCTAAATGCCATGGTTTTTTGCCAGCCATGCACATGGAGCCTCTCTGGCAAGTCAGCATTTTCCCGAATGGCCAGCCTTGCATCGAAGTGCGAAGTCTTGTGCCCAGCAGGACATAGCTTGGTCCCAGGGCTGACTTTATCAGACTAAAATAGTCTGATTGTCTGAAATCTCAGGGTATTTTCCTACGGATCCTGATTTTTCAGACTTGTAAGATTTTCAAACATGAGTGCCTCAGACTTACTTGGTTTTGGATCCTGAGATTTTCAGAGTACTGACTTAGCCGATAATGGGTCTTCATACTACGGATCATGAAATGCGGATCTGTGATTTCTACGTACATTCCGCTACGTCATATGTTGCCAGTGTACGAACACACTTCATGGCGCTGTCACGCGCAGAATCTGTCCTTGGCAACTTTTGCCACCCTTTTCCCTTAGAAATCTGCCAACTTGGCTCACTCTTCCACTCACGCGGGACCATCACTGCAGCTACGCGGTGTCAGCGAGGGAAGCTGGTTAGCGTTGCGCCCCACGTGCTACATTTGTGGCAGTACTGTACTGCAGTGGTTGTAGTGTGTTCTGAGTACTTCAGACTTGTGTTTTTGCGGAACTTGAAAAATCAGAGTGGCCATTCTCTGGGAAATATGCCTCAGACTAAAAATTTTCAGAGCCCCCAGAACATCAGACTGGATTTTTTTGAATAGTCAGCCCTGCTTGGTCCCCACATATGCATGCGCATGTCATAATATATTTCTGTATAACTGCATGTAGTTCTAGCTGTAGTGTAGTTCTATTGCTGTCCTGTTAGGTGGTGCATCATTTGGCTTGCTATAACTTGTCACTCTTCTCATAGTGAACATCATTCTCGTTTCTCCTTTGGTCAACACCCTCGATCTTCCCCTCGCTTCTCTCATCCTAGCTAAACCCTAGGTTACTAAGCCTAGTGAGTTAAGCACCTACTCTAACAGCGCATGCCACAGGAATGCCGCAATACCACCGAACCAGTCGAAAATCGTCAAGCAAGCGGGTTAGTTTCAGTCCAAGATCGTTCAGCAGGGTCGGACCAAAATCATTCAGCTGGGAGGTCTGGGTGTGCCAGTAATCAAATACGAGCATATACTGTTGAAATACATTTCTTATATAAACTGCTTGTAGCAGTAGTTAGTGTAGTGTTACATTGTTTGGTGGTGCACCTTGCTTGCTTTGCCTATATCCGTGTACCTTCTCTCTTTATTGAACCACCTTTCTCCTTTGGAACTCTCTCGACATCCCCCTTCAACCCTAAACCTAATCTCCTAAGCTACTCTAGCCATGGCTTCTAAGCCTAACTAGCTTTAGCTCTTTGATATGGTATCAGAGGACTTAAGCTCCTAAGACCTAATGGGCCCACCGATAGCTTCCGCCAATGCGCCTCTTTCCTGCCCGTGGCGCGCCCGTGGCGCGCGTCGGTTTTCTGCCCGTCGCGTGCCCGTGGCGCGCGTCGGTTTCTGCCCGTCGCGTGCCCGTGGCGCGCGACGGTCTCCTGCCCGCCGCGCGCCCCGGGCGCGCGCGGCGGTTTCACGCTCCGTCGCGGAGCCCCCGGGGACCCGCGCGCTCCCCCCGTCGTCCGTTGCAGCGCCCCCAGGAACCCGCGCGCCGCCCCCCGTCGTTCGTCGCGGCGCCCCCGAGGACCAGCGCGCCGCCCCCCGTCGTCCGTCGTGTCGCCCCCGGACACTGTCGCGCGCGGGTTTCTGCACACCGCGCGCCTCGGGAGCGCGCCAGAACCTGCAGCCGCGGTGCGGCTCCTACCCCGCCCCCCCCGCCTCCTTCTCCCTGCTACGCGTGCAGCCGTGGGGGGGGGGGGGGGGATATGGGGGTGGCGGGCAGCCGCGGAGCAGCTCCTACCCCGCCCCCTCGACTCCATCTTCCTGCTGCGCCTGCAGCCGTGGGGGGAGGAGGGGGTTGGCGGGTGTGACAAACCAGCGGCCGTCCCTCCTCCTCTCTCTCTTCCTACCGCCTCTCCTGGGGTGGGGGGCAGGAGGGGGGGGGAGGGTGAGGGGGTGGCAGGGATGTCCAGCATGCGCCAGCCCACCTCCTCTCTCTTCCTGTCGCCCCTCCTGGGGTGGGGGGGAAGGGGGGGGGGGGGGGGGGGAGGGTGAGGGGGTGGCGTTGGAGGAAGGGTGGGGGGAAAGGCATGAGGTTCAAGGGGGCGATTGACAAGGGGGGCGATTGACAAGGGGGGTGGCTGAAAGGGGGCGTGGAATTAGGGGGTTAGTAAGAGGGGCTTGCCGCGCTAGGCTCCCCCCACCTCCTCTCCTCCCTCTCTCACCCCCCCTTTGTAAACAGGGGGTTCGTAAGAGGGGCTCGCCGCGTGGCTCCCCCACCTCCTCTCCTCATCCCTCTCTCATCCCCCCCCTTCGTAAAACGGGGGTTAGTAAGAGGGGCTCGCCGCGTGGCTCCCCCACCTCCTCTCCTCATTCCTCTCCTCTCCCCTCTCTCTCTCTCGTCTCCTCCTCCTCGCATTCCTCTCTGCCGTCTTCCGCTGCGCTTGGTGTACCCCTTCAGGGGGTGTCTCTGCATTAGCTTCCTGCTGCAAGCAGTTTAGGGGGTGTGTTGAAATACATTTCTTATATAAACTGCTTGTAGCAGTAGTTAGTGTAGTGTTACATTGTTTGGTGGTGCACCTTGCTTGCTTTGCCTATATCCTTGTACCTTCTCTCTTTATTGAACCACCTTTCTCCTTTGGAACTCTCTCGACATCCCCCTTCAACCCTAAACCTAATCTCCTAAGCTACTCTAGCCATGGCTTCTAAGCCTAACTAGCTTTAGCTCTTTGACATATACTATCTTTGGCTCTTGGTGTATCTTACCCTTCAATAGCTACACATACCTACACCAAACGGTAGTAGTTTTTGGCTCTTAAAAGCTGCAATAAGGGCATGGAACATTGGGGATTTTTTTTTCCGAACGAACGCACGGTTCAAAAAATGAATGCTCTGAAACGTATCGAAACCTACTTAACAAAGCGTTTGACAAATATACCATTTTCAACCGTTCGGGGCGGTACAGTTCGTTTGGAAAATTTCCTAAATGTTTCACGCCCTTACCTTATTGAAATATTTCATAAACCAGTTGTTCTCTGTGGCGGGCAGAACTCGTAACATGCTCCTTGTCAGCTGCCGAGTCTCTGTTCTCCCATACCCTTCCCAACATCTTGCCACTGCCATTCTCCCTAATGCCCTCCCTGTAATCTCTCTCGTCTCTCTCTTCCCCCACCTCCTCAGTAAAATCATCTTGCTGCTTCCTCTTCTCTCCATCCCGTTCCACCATTCTCCCTGAAACTTCTTCCTCACTATATGCTTTGGACCCCTGATCTCTACCCTCCATTAGCAAACTAGCAATGTCTTCTCGTTGAACCTCCCCAGTCTCCTCCCGAGCCTCCTCAACCTCCCCCGGAGCCTCCTTCTCAGCCTCTCCATAAGCCCCATGCTCCTCCCCAACCTCCGCGGCCTTTTCCCAGACCTTATTCCGAGCTTCGTTCCATGCCGTGGCAAACGCACAGTCAGCTGCATCGATTGCTGACGTGGCATAATCCTCCACGTCACCATCCAAAAAGCCTTGCCCTGTCTCCCCGTCAGCCTGAATCGGCGCTCTCATAAGCCTAGTCAGCAGCCCGTACTCCTCTGCCCTTTTAGACCGGGTAATTTCCCCTCGGAAAGTCTGCCCTAGTACACCATGCACTGCATCCGTGTTCTGTTGTTTGGAAAGGGAAAAAGTGAGAAAAAGGGGTTCATACAGTGACATTAACACAAGATGCAAAAAAGTGGTTGTATGTATGGACAGGGTATGTGTGGGGTCTCGTTGGTGTGATGAAGGGTAAACAGAGAGAGCGAAAGAGGGGTTCATACCGTGACAGAAACACAAGGCGCAAAAAAAAAAAGATAAATGGCCAGGGCATGCGTGGGGCCCTTTGGTGTGATGAAGAGTAAACAAGGTGTTTTTGAGAATTCTCAAAAACACCCTGCAGCATCATGCATTGTCAACCATCCTCACGCCACATTTTACTATCTAACAACTAATTGAATGCAAACAGTCCAGCGTAAACAGGAATAAAAGTAACAGTACATACGTATTATGTATATATAAACAAATATATGTATATAAATTACATCAAAATCCACTCACATTGAGGTATTTAATATAGACGTTGAAGTGAGTGTGAGCCTCGTCAGGTGTCTGCAGCAGCGGGTGTGCCGCATGCAAGGAGAGTTCCAAGGCTGCTGCTCCCCCCACGCTCACGCGGTATGTGTCCCTGTCCCTGCCATCCCCCATGGGTGTGGCCGATAAAAGCACCATGTGGAAGGAACCTTCCCCATGCACTGCGTGCCCCACCTGGAGAGGCGGAGGGAGGGAGGGGAGGGAGGGAAAGAGAGGGAGAGGGTCGGTATGTGTCCCTGTCCCTGCCATCCCCCATGGGCGCTGTTGATGCCAGCACCATGTGAAAGGACCCCCTCCCTCCATGCACTGCGTGCCCCACCTGGGGAAGGGAGCAGAAGGGAGGGGGGGAAGAAAGATGACGGGAAAGTGGAGGGCGGAAAGAAGGAGAGGGTGGGGGTTGCAGCAGAGGGCGGGTGTTGAGCGGGGTGTTTTTGAGAATCCTAAAGAACACTCAGCATGCAACGACAACTAAGAACTGGAGAGGAGACATAGGTTCAGGGTGAGAGTAAGAGACACCACCATTGTTACTAGCGTGGGGCCGATCGCTTAACATGGTTACCTGAGTGGGTGGGTTCAGAGTCTGCTCATCAAGCACCATCCTCTCTATAAAGCCCCTCTCCCCCCGCTGCTGCTCCTTGCCATCCCGCGCTTTCAGGAACACCGAGTGCTGCCGGCCAATGGGATCTCGCCACGTCATGTACAGCTCCCTGGATGGCAGGAGCACAGACGAAGAAACAAAGAATGAATACACGTATCTAATACTGTTTAGTATGCAGACAAAAGTACTTAGGACTGATATGCAGTGCAGCTTGCGGCTCCATATCTAACAGCTACGCAGCAGTAAAGCAACCTTCACGCTACAGTAGTTGCACTAGAACCAACAAGCTAAAGTGTAAACGCGCCGAGTTGCATGCAGAAATCTCGTCAATATTTCCTCGTCCTCATCCCCTCGTCAACATATCCTCGTCCTCATCCCCTTATCAACATCCCCTCGTCCTCATACCATTCTTTGAGCCAACATCCCCTCATCCTCATACCCAGTGACGCTCATATCCATTGACGCTCATACCCATTGACGCTCATGTCGTTCCAAACTGGATTTCCTTTTGCCTACCTGGTCCACAATCATGCGGACAGTCTGTGTCTTTTCTTCCCAAAGAAGTGACTTTTGAGTCGACTCAAAAGTCACCAAACTTGATTTCCCTTTGCCTACCTGGTCCACAATTATACGTACAGTTTGTGCCTCTTCTTCCCTCCTCTCCTCCCACGCACCACCACCATCCTCCCGTCCTCATACCCCTTTATGCCCGTATCAACATGCTCTCTACGTTCTAAACATTAACTCCCATTCGATCCCCGATCTATACCATCCCATTCCATACCTGATCTATACCATCCCATTCCATACCTGATCTATACCATCCCATTCCATACCTGATCTATACCATCCCATTCCATACCTGATCTATACCATCCCATTCCATACCTGATCCATACCGTCCCGTTCCATCCCCGATCGTATCGACCGTTTCTGTTGTCTTCCCTCCTCCGCTGCTTCCTCCCCTCCCGCCCATCACCAGCCTCCCGTCCTCATACCCCTTGACACCCATCTTCACATGCTAACTATGCTCTAAACTCGGACTCCCCTCCATACCTGATACACGATCGTATGGGCAGCTTGTGACTTCTCTTCCCTCCTCCCCTCCCACGCACCACCACCAGCCTCCCATCCTCATACCCCTTGACACCCATCTTCACATGCACACCCCGGACAGTCAGCAGGCAGAAGGACGGTTTGGCTCTCTGTGGAAATTACCCAAGAAGCACCTACCCCAAGAAACTCCTACCCCAAGAAACACGTACCCCAAGAAACACTTACCCTAGGCGAGAGACAACCCGCCTACCTGATCCAGGACCGTATGGGCAGCTTGTGCCTCCTCTTCCCTCCCCCTCCCCTGCTGCCAACGCCACCGCTTCCCCTCCTCCTTCCCACCACCAGCCTCGCGTCTTCATTCCCCTTTATCCCCATGCTGATATGCACATCTCGCTTACCTGATCCAGGACCGTATGGGCAGCTTGTGCCTCCTCTTCCCTCCCCCTCCCCTGCTGCCAACGCCACCGCTTCCCCTCCTCCTTCCCACCACCAGCCTCGCGTCTTCATTCCCCTTTATCCCCATGCTGATATGCACATCTCGCTTACCTGATCCAGGACCGTATGGGCAGCTTGTGCCTCCTCTTCCCTCCCCCTCCCCTGCTGCCAACGCCACCGCTTCCCCTCCTCCTTCCCACCACCAGCCTCGCGTCTTCATTCCCCTTTATCCCCATGCTGATATGCACATCTCGCTTACCTGATCCAGGACCGTATGGGCAGCTTGTGCCTCCTCTTCCCTCCCCCTCCCCTGCTGCCAACGCCACCGCTTCCCCTCCTCCTTCCCACCACCAGCCTCGCGTCTTCATTCCCCTTTATCCCCATGCTGATATGCACATCTCGCTTACCTGATCCAGGACCGTATGGGCAGCTTGTGCCTCCTCTTCCCTCCCCCTCCCCTGCTGCCAACGCCACCGCTTCCCCTCCTCCTTCCCACCACCAGCCTCGCGTCTTCATTCCCCTTTATCCCCATGCTGATATGCACATCTCGCTTACCTGATCCAGGACCGTATGGGCAGCTTGTGCCTCCTCTTCCCTCCCCCTCCCCTGCTGCCAACGCCACCGCTTCCCCTCCTCCTTCCCACCACCAGCCTCGCGTCTTCATTCCCCTTTATCCCCATGCTGATATGCACATCTCGCTTACCTGATCCAGGACCGTATGGGCAGCTTGTGCCTCCTCTTCCCTCCCCCTCCCCTGCTGCCAACGCCACCGCTTCCCCTCCTCCTTCCCACCACCAGCCTCGCGTCTTCATTCCCCTTTATCCCCATGCTGATATGCACATCTCGCTTACCTGATCCAGGACCGTATGGGCAGCTTGTGCCTCCTCTTCCCTCCCCCTCCCCTGCTGCCAACGCCACCACTTCCCCTCCTCCTTCCGACCACCATCCTCGCGTCCTCATACCCCTTTATCCCCATGTTGATATGCACATCCCGGTCAGTCAGCAGGCAGAAGGAACGGTTCAACTCCCCGTGGAAATCAAATCTCGTGCCCTCCGCGCCCACGAAGTGCGGGTCGTTCTTCACCTCTGCGAGAGGGTTGCATTTGCCCCCGATATAAGACGGATCGATGCTTGTTTTAGTGTTGTCTACAGTGAATTTGTCCAGGCTAGTTAGCAGCCTGCAGACGCCGTTGCCGGGAACGCTGAGGTTGATTGAGGGGAGGGGGAGGGGAACGTTGGGGAAAGGAAGGAACGAACAAAGGGATAAGGGGAGGAAGAGAGGAGTGGGTGAATCTCGCCAGGCTGGATAGCGGCATGCAGACGCCGTTGCCGGGGAATGCTGGGGGTGAGGGGAACATTGGGGAACGGAAGGAACGGACAATGGGATGAGATGAGGAAGAGAGGAGGCGGTGCATTTCGCCACGTCTGCAGACGCCGTCGCCGAGAATGCTGGGGATGGTTGAGAGGTGAGAGGGGTGGAGAAGGAGGGAGGGAGGAAGGGAGAGAGAGAGATGATCATTTAGGTTCGGTGGTCATCAGAAGTAATTGTCTAGAGAACTCGTGCACACGCACACCACTCGTGGGAGCAGTAGAGCAGCGAGCAAAACTCAAGGGGGGACCTACGAGGGGCAGCAACTTGTGGGCAACTCACAGTGGCAGCTCGTAGTGAAAGTAGACTCACTTGTGGGCAACTCACAGTGGCAGCTGGTAGTGAAAGTAGACTCACTTGTGGGCAACTCACAGTGGCAGCTGGTAGTGAAAGTAGACTCACTTGTGGGCAACTCACAGTGGCAGCTGGTAGTGAAAGTAGACTCACTTGTGGGCAACTCACAGTGGCAGCTGGTAGTGAAAGTAGACTCACTTGTGGGCTCGAGCAGTAGAGTGTGCGTGGGTGTAGAGCATTGAAGTGGGAAAATGTGGGCAGTAGAGCAGTGAGCAGCATTCAAGGGGAACGGCACTCGGGGGGGGCAGCACGCAGGGGGGCAGCACGCAGGGGGGCAGCACGCAGGGGGGCAGCACACGGGGAGGGGCAGCACACATGGGGGCAGCACGCGGGGGGAGCAGCACATGGGGGGAGCGGTACAGCAGCATTCGCAGCGGCGGCTGGTAGTGGAAAAAGAGGCACTGTTGGCTTGGGGGTGCATGTTTGGCAACACACAACATGTAGACATGAGCAATGAGGCACGGCCAAGCATGGGAGCGAGCGATGTGAACGAGTGGTGAAACTTGTGGGAGGGACACACACACTCACAGTGGCGGCTCGTAGTGGAAAAAGACGCACTTGTCGGCTTGGGCGCATTTTTGGCAGCACGTGTTTACGTTTATGACCTGTGTGTGAATGGGGGAGGGGGAGAAGGAGAGGCGGGGGAGGGACGAGGGGAGGCGGGGGAGGGACGAGGAGAGGCGGGGGAGGGACGAGGAGAGGCGGGGGAGGGACGAGGGGAGGGGGGAGAAGAAGCATGTGGATGGGGGAAGGGAGAAGGGCGAGGGAGGAAAGGGGAGGTACGGTAATTCGTAATACATATGATATGGATGCTATGCTACTGCCTGTGCGGAATGTAAGTGCAGATGAGAAAGAAAGTGCAGATGAGAAAGAAAGTGCAGATGAGAAAGAAAGTGCAGATGAGAAAGAAAGTGTGGATGAGAAAGAAAGTGTGGATGAGAAAGAAAGTGTGGATGAGAAAGAAAGTGTGGATGAGAAAGAAAGTGTTCGGATGTATAAGATGTATGCAGAGGTGACTGTTGTTTAAGATGTATGCAGAGGTGACTGTTGTTTAAGATGTATGCAGAGGTGACTGTTGTTTAAGATGTATGCAGAGGTGACTGTTGTTTAAGATGTATGCAGAGGTGACTGTTGTTTAAGATGTATGCAGAGGTGACTGTTGTTTAAGATGTATGCAGAGGTGACTGTTGTTTAAGATGTATGCAGAGGTGACTGTTGTTTAAGATGTATGCAGAGGTGACTGTTGTTTAAGATGTATGCAGAGGTGACTGTTGTTTAAGATGTATGCAGAGGTGACTGTTGTTTAAGATGTATGCAGAGGTGACTGTTGTTTAAGATGTATGCAGAAGTTAGATGATCCCACAGTAGGTGACTTTTCGGTCTGTCCAAAAAGTTAGAAACCGTGTTTGATGTGTGCGGATGATAAATAACATGTTCAAATGCTCGCTGATTGCAGAAGTCATCCCCACGGCCTAGGTGACTTTTGGGTCGTCTCCTAAGTGAGGAACCGTGTTTGATGTGTGCGGATGATAAATAACATGTTCAAATGTTCGCTGATTCCATCGAAGTGATTCCAGAGGGCCTAGGTGACTTTTGGGTCGACTCAAAAGTCACCTCGTTAAAAGATGTGCGCAGATTTCACAGAGCGTCTTAAAGAGAGACGCATGTGCGCATGATGTGGGAATGACGTGGGGATGACGATGCCGCAACAACCGTCATGACAGCAACGCAAAGTAGTGGGAAGAATGAAGGCGGAATGAAAGGAGACAGGGAGAGGGATGGGCGGCGGAACGAGAGGGGAGTGAAAGTGGGCTAGGGGGCGTGGGTGCGTGGGAGGCGCAGGGGGCAGTGCGGGAGGCGCGGGGGGAGAGCGGGAGGCACGGCGACACTCGGGCGCGGGGGAGGGGGGCCGGGGGGAGAGGAGAGGCGTACATTGGTCTTTAGAATCACGTCGGTGGTGTCTGTGAGCTGTCAGGGACAGTTGGGGGGAAGGGGGGAAGGGCAGGGAAAACAGGGGGGAGGAACGGCGGGAAAAAACAGGGGGAGAGGCGATGAGGGCGGGGAGGGCGGGGAGGCGGAGGGAGAGGCGTACATTGGTCTTTACGATCACGTCGGTGCTATCTGTGAGCTGGAGGGAGCAGGGGGGGGGATGGGGGGGAAAGACGGGGAAGGGTGGAAAAATGGGGGGGACGCAGAGAGAAACGGGGATGGGCGGGGATGAGGGAAATGGGTTGAGTGGGACAAGGCAACAAAGGGGAGAGAAGGTGGCTTTAAGCTCATAGAGAAGATGGCAGGAAAGAGGGGCGCAGAAACACACGCGCAAGGACTCTCTGTGTTACCGCAGTAACCGCTGTTACCGCTGTAACCGCTGTTACCGACCGCTGTTACCGCTGTTGCTGCTGCTACCTCTGTATTTGTTCTTATCCAATGTTACACGCTGTTACAGCTGCTACAGTTGCTACTGCTGTTCCCACTCCACATTCCCACACTGTCATTTCATGCTGCCGTTCACGCTCGTACTCAGTGACGCCGGGTCCATACACTGCACAAACGCTTTGCACCGCACTAAACCGCGCTAGGCCGTGCAACACCCACCTTGTACCGCTCGTAGTTCATGTTGCCATTCGCGCTAATAATCGCCGACGCCCGTACCCCCTAACAAGCCTAACAAGGGAACCGCATTGTACCGCATCCAACCGCACTCCAACGTGCAACACCCACCTTGTACCGCTCGTAGTTCAAGTTGCCATTCGCGTTGATAATCGCCGAAGCTTTTCCCGACGGCAATAACCACCGCCCCCGGGTGTACCTGACGCAGCGTGACGTCAGACAGCCACCCTTCGGCGTCAGCACGTCGAGAGACTCAGCGCGGGCCACGTGGCAGGAAGTATCTTCAGACAGAAGAATTGATGTTAGCAGGACGAGGGGTAGGAGAGCCGCTAGCGCGTGGCGGAAGGAAGAGAAGGGTGCGCGCAAGCAGCGGGGACCGGAGAGGGGAATAGAGCGCGGAGGGGGAGTGGCGCGCGCAAGGAGAGTGGCGCGCGGAAGTGGAATGGCTGAGGGCGGAAGGACAGAACCGAAAGCGTGGGGGCCGCGATGGTTGAGACGGCGGCGGCGGCGGCGGTGGTTCCGGAGCAAATAGGGTTGGGAGCGAGAGACGGATGGAGGAATGAGGGAAGAGGAACATAGCTGGTCCCGTCGCGTCCGCAGCGCCATGACAACAACTTGCTGAGTATCTGATCACCTTTGGAGGTTCCGCGTTGGAGATAACCGAATCGGAGGTCCCCTTTATCCTATAATCAAGATCCGATAAGCAACCTTCACTACTATCATGGATTCCGCGCTTGTCTCGAATCGACTGCCGCGGTAGCCTCCAATGCAACGGAGCTTCTAGCGCAGCTTTTGACGGCTACCAACGGAGGTTATAACGCGGATCGCAGCATCCGCTGCACCTCTTTCTTCGCAGCGCATTAGCAAGGGTGCGTCAATCTGGTTCGAGATCGAATCTGCGAATTCTCTCTTCGGCTCGCGCAGCAGCTTCGAAATACAGCAATGTTATTCCCCAGAACAGGAGGTCTGTGCCAAACGTAAGGCTCGTTTGTTCCTCATGTTTAGAGGGACGTCTTAGATCTCGCGCGAGCCGTGTAAACGCACACAAGATGCTTGACGGTGGGCCGAGCCGCATAAGGGTGCCACGAGGTGATACAGCAACAGCGAGGTGGTGGGATGGGCAGCTGACGAAGGCAAGTGTGTTGAGATGAGAAATGCCCGTGCGAACCAGTATAGTAGTCGCGAAATGTCTCCGAGCGGATTCGCGACTGATGGCGAGTAGCTTGACGCTGAGCGAAACTCTCGAGGAAGTAGGCGACGCTCGCGAAAATATTGACGAACTCGTCAATGGACCTGTGGCTGCGGCTTGTGTGCAGGGTGTGTGACTTCGAAGCAGAGTGGCGACAAGAAAGTCAAGGAGAAGAAGGGATACGCCAAGAACGATCTCGAATTTGTCTCACGAGGGTCAAGTGAACAGTTCAGGGGAATTGGGGTGGAGGAACTGTACTGTGGAACAGTAATCCAAGGTTTTGAAGGGGGAAAACAAAGCACTGGTTGACCAATCATGGCTTGATCTTTAGAGATCAACCATTCACTCGCCTCCTTCCTGACTGCGCGGCATGTCTCGAGTCTCGACTCTCGAGGGGGGTGGCGTGGCGGGGTCACTCTGTCAAAGGTTTTGGCGGGAAAGGGAGGAAAGCTGGCTGTATTCTTCTGAACCAAACCCACTGAAAACGTTAGGATGAAGTTACAAGGCCTACAGTACAAGGACCAGTGAGGTTTATGTCCAATGGCCTGCACATTTATGGGCCCAGCACCGACGTCGGAAACATACATTTTACAGAGTTTCTGGAGTATCCACTTCTATTATGTTTGACTACACAGAATATGGATAAACCAATAGGCAAAGTAAAAACCAGGATAGACTCATTATTATGAACATTTGGTTATCTAGGTTATTACACGTGCTTCATTATTGTACTAATTTCGCCTGGTACGAGACTAGTGTCTGGGAATATATTTTGTTTGCTTTGAATATATGCATATATTGCAAAAGGTACTATTGATTGGAGTGTTGATTCCAGTCAGGTTCGCTGCTATTGGTGGTTGTTCAGGCTTGTCAGAAGCAAATCGGCATGCCAGGAACGCGGCTCGACTTGTCTGACCGCAACAATTTGGCGCCAACATGTGTAAAGCTCACCATTGTGACGGCGGCGCAGAAAACCTCCAAGGGACTGGTGAGTCGTGACTGGTCGCATGTGGTAACATCCAGCCGAAGTTATCATGGACGTCAATCTCGCTGCTGCACAAACCAAACCGCAACGAGGTTCAGAATATTTGCTTCTGACCTTGAACCCCGTGCTCCAATCCCGATGTTCACAGGCGGAGGCTGCTCAGCAGACAGTTTCCAACTCCAGCATATCTCCATGTCCTCAAGGTCCGACCACGGTTTTGCCTGGTGCTTTACGGTCAAAAGTGGTTAAGAGAAAACAGCCGAGCTGCACCGAATAGTCACCTACTAAACCGCACTGAACGATCTCCGCGCTGGTCTGTACACCTCTCGGCCCACAACCCGCCAATATCGATGCCTCATGGTCCCCGCACCAACCAATCCCCATGCACTTCCACCAGAGTAAAGGCACTTCCACCAAAGTGCCACTCCTGATCCCAATATGCAAACTTCCCGTCCCGACCGTTGCTCTTCCCTAGAACCCACAGGAGAGCAAGCATTCTAGGCTACCGCTTATCCGTTGGCCAGCGTGGTGGCCTGCTCGTGGCCTTGTGGTTTTGTTTTGTAGTTTTTAAGGCTAAAGCAAAAAATGGACGGTCATTTGTACGGACGGTGTGTTCGGAGTACTTTTCCCTGAAAGGTCATTTTTCTTATGCGCGGTAGTTGCATCCCGAACGAGCTATGCTGACTCCGGTTTCACTCAGCGCGGTGACTTATCAACAAGCATGGATCACACACGTGTTCGGTTCGCCTCTTTCTAAAGCACTAGTATTGTACACTAGAAACAAGAGTTTTCCTTCTGGACCAATCAGGACGCTCGATATTCGACGCTCTCAGCGTTTTAGGAACAGGCTCTAGCTTCAATTGGTTTTCACTCACAAAACAGCCATGGCCGCTAGCCGCAATCCATGTCGCTAACGCGAGGGAGCTAGTGCGAGAGGTAGAGGCTCTTTTCTCCCGAAGTTGGACCCTCAGACGGACTGGGATGCTCGCATGGCCGCCCTGAAGCGCCTCGAGGGGCCTCTTCCGAGGCGGTACGTGCTCCACGCATAGGTAAAGGTAGCGTCAAGTGTGGAGATTTGGTGTTTCACGCATAGCTTAAAGTAGCTTCAAGTGTGGAGATTTGGTGTTTCACGCATAGCTTAAAGTAGCGTCAAGTGTGGAGATTTGGTGCTCCACGCATAGCATGGTCTAGAAATTATCGTCATCGAGGTGTCCCTCTAAGGGCTTGGAGTTGGATTCAACGCTCTACTGGTCTCATTGTGAACTTTGGTTTTCATATGTTCCTACCTCCACAATCCCCAAGCAAACGCCACAGTGACAACCATTGTGATTTTCGTGTAGCTTCCAGACCTTCTGTTGTATTTTTTTCCTGCTCAGAATACTGGCTAAGACTTCTCCACCCATTTGGTAGTCTGTGCGTTGTCTGTACAACCGGAAAAACACTCTGCCTTCCTTTGGTTTTGATTCCCGATGCCTGATTATCTGATCTCAGCCGCACGATCGGGAGTAACGGGAATATCGGCTCTGCTCCGGCAGCTGGTCATGCCGCACCTCGCCGTCCAACTCCAGGATGGCCGGTCGAAAATCATCAAGCAGGCGTGCAACCTCGTGTCAGCAATCGCAGAGTGCCTGTCTGGGGAGTTCGAAGCATGCGCGGATATCGTGCTTCAGGTCAGCGATCTTCCCTCTCATCACGCATTTCCCCACCCAGCTAACACGAGTCAGAGTAGCAACCACGCTGCAGGCAAATGCTCAGCAATCGCTGAGTGCCTGTCCGGGGAGCTCGAAGCATGCGCGGATATCGTGCTTCAGGTCAGCGATTCTCCCTCTCATCACGCATTCTCCCAGCTAACACATGCCAGAGTAGCAACTGCGCTGCAGTAACTCCTCAACGATTGCTTAGTACCCGTCCGGAGCGCTCCCAAGGCATTTTTCTCCTCTGATCTCCTTTTTGCTTCATCTGATCCACTACTTTCGCATTCACCTTCTACAAGTCAACGGATCCGAGCAAGTGTGCCGCTACAATATATAACCAGGTGTCCGATCAGGTCGTTCGTTGTGTCGCACCAGTCACACATCATGTACCAGGGTCACCACGGCCAGACCTTGCGCCCGCGGTCAGTACTGGCAGTCACAGGTCCTGTATCACAGCCAATCCCTCATATGCTCTCCGTGTCACCTGTCTCCTGCCCCTCCTAGCCACCCGTCAGACCTACTTACGAGCCTGCCGTCAGTACTAACAGTCACCGGTTATGTATCACGGCCAAACCCTTGCATGCTCTCCGTGTCTCCTGTCTCCCGCCCCTCATAACCACCCATCAGGACATGCTGACGTGGCTGGGGTCGATCGTCCGCTGCTGGTTTTGAGACTTCTGAAGACCGAACCCTAATCTTCTCCTCCTCATGTTTCCTGCCTCACCGTTTCCGCCCACCAGGAAACTGATGAAGCTGCTGGAATTGTCCGCGCTGGTTTTTCAGACCTTCTGAGTTGCCAGCCCTAGGCTGCTCCTTTCCATGCGGTCTGCCTTCTGCCAACCCTAACCTGCTCCTCATGTTCCCTGCCTCTCACCCCTTTCTGCCCATCTGGAGCTGATGAAGCTGCTCGGGTCGTCCGCTCCTAATTTGAGTCAAGTTTAAACTCTAACCTGCTTTCTCTCATATTCTCTGCCTCTCATCCCCTCTGCCCACCAGGAGCTGATGAAGCTGCTCGGGTCGTCCGCTCCTAATTTGAGTCAAGTTCAAACCCTAACCTGCTTTCTCTCATATTCTCTGCCTCTCATCCCCTCTGCACCCACCAGGAGCTGATGAAGCTGCTGGGGTCGTCCGCGGCTATTATGGCCGACTCAGCAGACTCCACCATTCGAACTGTGAGCTCGCCGTTCCACTTGTGTTCTCACCATTTCTGGTGCTATTGACTTTTGAGTCGACTCAAAAGTCACCCCGTTCCACTTGTGTTCTCACCATTTCTGGTGCTATTGACTTTTGAGTCGACTCAAAAGTCACCCCGTTCCACTTGTGTTCTCACCATTTCTGGTGCTATTGACTTTGAGTCGACTCAAAAGTCACCCCGTTCACTTGTGTTCTCACCATTTCTGGTGCTATTGACTTTTGAGTCGACTCAAAAGTCACGCCCCGTTCCACTTGTGTTCTCACCATTTCTGGTGCTATTGACTTTTGAGTCGACTCAAAAAGTCACCCCGTTCCACTTTTGTTCTCACCATTTCTGGTGCTATTGACTTTTGAGTCGACTCAAAAGTCACCCCGTTCCACTTGTGTTCTCACCATTTCTGGTGCTATTGACTTTTGAGTCGACTCAAAAGTCACCCCGTTCCACTTGTGTTCTCACCATTTCTGGTGCTATTGACTTTGGAGTCGACTCAAAAGTCACCCCGTTCCACTTGTGTTCTCACCATTTCTGGGCTATTGACTTTTGAGTCGACTCAAAAGTCACCCCGTTCCACTTGTGCTCTCACCATTTCTGTGGCTATTTCTCTCTATCCCTGTCGTCTCTAATGTTACCATCCCCGTCCCCGTCCCTGTCCCCTGTCCCCATCTCCGTCCCCGTCCCCGTCCCCATCCCCTTCCCCTTTCCCAATCCCCATCCCCGTCTGCATCCCCCGTCCCCATCCCCTTCCCCTTCCGTGTCCCTCTCCCTTATTGTATCCCTGTAATGCTCCCTGTCCGCTGGGCAATGTCCTGAACGCGTCCTCTACTTTGTTCTGTTCTGTTGCGTTTTTATACCGTTTGCTTCTGTGTTTTGCTTTTACCTTGCCTGTTTCCCTCCAATCGGCCTACCAGGTGGTGGTCCGTTGCAGGCCACCCGCACACTGAGCAAGGTGTTTGAGACGGCCCCGGGCGTCAAAAAGCACAGTCCTGAGGAGCAGGTGGGTTCAATACGGTATGGAGGGTAGAGGGTGACGTGTGTGCGCCGGTGAAAGGTGTTAGAGATGGCCCAGGATACAAAGTGCACAGTAGTGAGAAGCAGACTGGTGTAGGTTTGACTTATTTCTTGCCTCGAAACGGGATGAGCAGATCCAGAATGGTGTAGGGTTATGGAGATGGGGAAAGGGAGGGCAATAGGGCGATGGGAGGGATATGATGATCTTCTCACCAAAATAAAAGTCCTCTTTTACGTGTTTTTAGAGCTCAACATGCTTGTTTCTTCACCCCCCGACCAAACCCCCTCAACCACACCAGGTGTGCAGAGTATGTGCTGCTGGCGCTGGAGGTGTGGGGCCCACAGGGCGAGCTCGTCTGATCGTTCCCTATTCCACTCACACCTCCCATTTCGCCGCCTCTTCCCCATTTCTTCCCCATTTCTTCCCCCTTCCTCTCCCCCCCCCCACCCCCCCAAGTGTGCGGGAGTATGTGCTGCTGGCGCTGGAGGTGTGGGGCCCACAGGGCGAGCTGGTTTGAACATTCTCCTATTCACCCCCACCCAACCCCCCCCCCCCCCTTCCTCCCCCCCCCCCCCTCCTCCTCAGGTGTGCGGAGTATGTTCTACTGGCGCTGGGAGGTGTGGGGCCCAACAGGGCGAGCTGGTCATGCTGGTTGATGCGATTGAGAGCAGCATTCGTAGTGGCGTGCAGGATGGCACGAGAGAGGTGAGGGAGCGGGTGGGAGGAGGATGTGAAAAACGATGTGTGACCTTTAGAGAAGGGCACGAGAAGGGGGGAGATAGGACGAGCTGGTGGCGCTGGTGGATGCGATTGAGAGCAGCATTCTCAGCGGCGTGCAGGATGGCACGCGGGAGGTGAGCAGAGGGAGAAACAAGATGATGGCACGAGGGAAGTGAGTGAGAGGATGGGAAGCGAGCTGGCGATGCTGGTGGATGCGATTGAGAGCAGCATTCGCAGCGGCGTGCAGGATGGCACGCGGGAGGTGACTGGGAGAGAGGAGAGGGGATGGAGCAAGGGGGGGTGAGTGAGAGGCGAAAGAATAACATGAGAGGCGTGAGAGGGGATGAGAGAGGTGCAGGGAGGCGAGGCAGAGTGGGAGGTGCAGCAGATGAAGGAGGCAAAGCTGTGGGAGGTGCAAAGATGGGGCATGCCCAATTTGATGTCTCCCTCGCCCCACATTCACAAACTCTCTCTCTCGGCCCACATGACATGCCCTATCTCCCTCGCTCCACGCTCACATGCTATCTCCCTCTCCCTCCGTTCACATGTCCTCCCCCTCTCCCTCCCGACATTGTCTCCTCTCCCGCCTACCAGGTGCGAGCCACAGCCAGGCGCAGCTTCCGGGAGTTTTCCCACTTATGGCCGGAGAGAGCCACCCGGCTGCACTCCTCGTTTACGTCACGGTGCAGAAGGTGAGGAGGTGGGGAAGGAAGAAGGTGGGGAGGAGGCTAGGTGGCGAGGGAAGGAGGGTGGGAAGAATGGGAGAAGGCGAGGGAGGGATGAGAGGGGAAAGAAGGCGAATATTCCCTGGCAATGTAACCTCTGGCCAGGATCCGCCCGGCTGCACTCCTCGTTTGACGTCCGGTTCAGAAGGTGAGGAGGTGGGGAGATGGGGAGGTGGCGAGGTGGCGAGGTGGGGAGGTGGGGAGGTGGCGCGGTGGCGAGGTGGCGAGGTGGGGAGGGTGGGGAGGGTGGGGAGGTGGGGAGGTGGCGAGGGTGGCAAGGTGGGGAGGTGGGGAGGTGGGGAGGGTGGCGAGGTGGGGAGGTGGGGAGGTGGCGAGGTGGTGGAGTTGGGGGAGGGAAGGAGGTTAAAAGAAGGGTGAGGAAGAAAGAAGTTTTGCTTGTATCACTTTACCCTCCTTACCCTCGTTGCCCAGCTGCACTCCCTTCACGGTGCAGAAGGTGAGGAGGTGGGGAGGTGGGGAGGTAAGAACGGGACAAGGTGAGAGGTTGTTGACAGGTGAAGAGATGACGCGTTCTCCTCTGAGCGTGTCACCTTACTCTCCTGCTTTTTTCGCCATCTCAATGCTTTCTCTCAGCAACTCTGAACCCACTTGCGATGGTATCTGTTCCTTACCTCTCATCTTGCCCTTCGCTCCTGCCAAGGGGCCAGTTTGGGAGTCAGAAGCCAGCAGCGCTGTCAGCATACTCAAGAATGGACCCTGCTTTCCGCCCTTCGCTCTCCCGCCCTCTCGCCTTGCTCACTTGCTATTCTCCCCTCTTGTGTCTATTGTCTTCCTCCTTCCTCCTCCCCAGGTGTTGGCTCAGGAGGACAAGTCAGCAGCACTGTCAGCACATTCGAAGAGGGACCCGCCTCCTCGCCCCTCGCTCTTGTGTGCCCTCAGCCCCCTGCCCATCCTGCCTCGCTCCACTCTCCCTCCTCTCACAATCCTTCTCTGATCCTCCTTCTCCTCCAGGTGTTGGCTCAGGAGGACAAGTCAGCAGCGCTGTCAGCACACTCCAAGAAGACCCACCTCCCCGCCCCTCGCCCTCGCGTGCGCGCAGCCCCCAGCCCATCCTGCCTCGCTCCTCTGCTGCCCTCGGGAACCTCATGGCTGCTAGGCGACAAGCTGCCTCTGCTACAGCCGCTGCTACAGCCGCTGCTACAGCTGCTACTGCTGCTACAACCAGTACTGCCACTGCTGTACTACTGCCGCTACTGCTACAGCTGGTACGGCTCGTACGACTGCTGTAGTGGAGAGTGCGAGAGGGGGACTGGCGAGTCTTAGCTTGAACTCTGTAGCCGGTCAGCCTGTCAGGGGGGATATAGCCTCTGGTAGTGCTGCTGCTGCAAGCGGCGGTGGGGGAGGAGGGGACGGAAGGGGAGGAGGGGGAGGAGGAGGTGGGATGGGGGCTGGTGAGGGGTGTGAGGCTGGGTGCACAGGGCACAGCTGCTGCTGCAGCAGCAGTGAGGGTAGTGGCAGGAGCAGGAGGAGGGGGAGGACGAGGAGGAGAGCGAGAAGGGGTTGTAGCAGGGCTAGGAGGAGCAGAAGCAGCTGTAGCAGCTGTAGCAACAGGGGCAGCAGGTGTTGTGGATCCAGGGCTGCTGGGGTAGCTGGGAGGGGAGAACGGATTGGTCCACAGAGAGTGATATCAACGAGTGAGACTGACACTGCAGCCGGTTATGCAGCTGCTGAGAGTGATGATTATGGTGTTGATTCTGCAAGAGACGGGGTGTCATCTGGGGAAGGTTCACCTGGGCCTGAGGCGAACCTATCCCCCAAGATAGTCCGTGTTTTGAACTTTGACTCTGCTAGCCGCAGTGCTGCTGCTGCTGCTGCTGCTGGTGCTGCCGCTGGTGCTGGTGCTGGTGGTGCTCGTGGTGCTGGTACTGGTGGTGCTGCTGGTGTGGCGCGTGTTTTCTATGGACGACGTTCCTATGAAGGAGAACTTACAGAGGGGATGGGGTGGAGGAGCAGCAGCAGCGGGAGGAGGAGGTGGTTGGGGGTTGGGCCGAGGAGGCAGAGGCACAGCATTGCTGCGTCAACCAATCTTGAAGGTCTGGTGCCGTCACGACCTCTAGGGACAGCTGCGAACAGGGTGGGGCGAGGGGCGCTGGGGGAACGGGAGGCAGAGGGGAAGGGGGGAATTGGGGTGCGAACGGACGTGAGTGGAGGTGGGGTTGGGGGAGGTGTGATTGGGGGGGTTGGGATTGGGGGAGGTGGTGGGGAGAGGAGGGCGGTGCATGCTAGGAGGTCTGTTGGGGGGTTAGTGCGAGTGAGTGAGGAGAGTGGTGGGGGGATGGGCGAGGAGAGGACGAGAGCAGCAAGTGGGCTTATTAGGCCTGGCGCTAATGCAGCAGCAGCGGGAGAACAGCAGCAGCAGTGGGGGCAGTGGGAGCAGGCGCTGGCAGGAGAAGAGGCTCGTTGCCTGGAGCCGTGCAAACAGCACATGAGCAGCAACAGCAGCAGCAGCAGCACCATCACCAGCAACAGCAGCACCGTCAGCCGCTGCACGCACCACGAGCTTCCATGCCGCCACGACACAGAAACCACTCCCCACCCCCCCTATTCGTGCACGCCCATCCCTACCCTCCTCCTCGTCTGCGCGCCCTCCCTAGCTCCTGCGCTGCTGCTGCGGCTGCGGGCTCCAGACCTGCTAGGCGGAGCATAGCCAGTAGCTATGGGCTAGCGGAATGGGGGCAACAGGAGGGGCAGGCAACTGGAGGGACACGTGGAATGGGAGGGATGGTGGGGAGAGGAGGAACCGTAGGAGCAGCAGGGTAGGAGGGAGGGATCGGACACAGAGAAATAAGCAGCAGCATCAGCAGAGGGATGTGGGGGAGGAGATGAGGTTGAAGGTAGAGGAGGGTTGCGGAAGGGTTGTGACTGGTCGAGGCGGGTGGCGGCCTTGGAGGCTGTGAGGGGGTGTGTGATGGGTGGAGGAGACGCGGTGGCGTGGGGAGGAGGAGAGGAGGATGGAGTGAGCCGCAAGGGTGTTCAGGCTGTTGTGAAGGTGCGTGCCCTGTGTGTTTTTGTGTTGCCATGCCTGTTGTGGGTGGGCAGTGTTAGTTTTGAGGCGCCTACAAATTGCGGGTATAGAGACGAATTATGAGGCGCCTCAAACGAAGATGGAGTGAGTCCCAGAATATGGACAGAGTAGTGGAGCTGCTAGTAGCGGGGACAGAGTTCGCCCACACCAGGTCCGCCTCCTCAGCTCTGGCCCTCTTAGAAGACCTCGTGCTGCACTGCCCGCCCATCCTCTT